CGCCAGGAAGTACCTGTGGTAGAAAGGGGAGCAAACTTAGCTGATGACACCCTTGTCTGAAAAAACAGACAAAGTTAAGTAGAAGAAAGTGCTTTAGTAATCAGTACTAATTTACTGGTTAATTGCCTTTCTATTTCTATACTCAGTATCTCACCTGGGGCTCTAGGATATCTACAGCACAATTATGGACCTCTTCTTCCCACCCTTCTCACAGCAGTGAAAAGCAACTCCCAGGCAGTGTCTTCCTCCAGCACTTCCTCCCACCCCTCAAGCTGGAATCTGACTTCTGCAGCTACAAGCCTCATTTATGATATGGGTTTTAAGCACTTACACCAAAATCATTGCAGTTCTGCTACCCTAGCAAGCTGAGCAAGGAAACATTTGACATTTTTCAGTGCAAAAATCTCCTATGCTGAGCACATCTGCGATAGGTATGACTTTAAAATGATTCTGATCTGGCGGATGTTTCCAGAACTATTTTTAAGCTAGTCCACAACCTGTTCAACTGCAAGAATAAGAAAATGTGCCTCAGAAAATCAAATTCACTACCAACCTCTTTACACTTTGAGCTAATAATTCCATCTCACTCTTTGCAAAAACTAGTCACAGAAATAAGGCTATCACATTGTTTTGGTTTTGTTTTTTCCCCAGCAAAATGGAGACATTGATTCAGCTACTTATGCATTATTAGTGCACGAAGAGAACCACACACAAGTATTACAAATACAAAACCAACTTCCTAAACACGATGCAGGATCTTCCCCCTGCCTCCCTGCCATGCAAGTGGACAACTTCCTTCAGAGAAAAACAGAAAGACTTTTTAAAGTTGGATATTAAATAGGTGGTGTTACACACTGTGCCTTTGTCAACAGAGACAGGCAGGGTAGGATTTCTCATCTATTTACACAACTAATTTAAATAGAAGGCAATCTGTACAAAGCAGAACTGACATGCAAAATCCTGGACCCCATTCAGTGAAGGCTGCCACACTCCTTAGCACTCACAAGTCACTAAAGTGCTAATAAATGCTGTCATGTGCCAAAGGAGTGAACTGGAGTGTCAAAAGCTGCAGGAAGAAAGATTGTTGATAACCTGTAAACATGTGCTCCCTACCCCTGTGATGTAGAAACACACAAACAAGTGAGGAAAAAAAAAAAATGCTTTTACAATGTAAACTGCAACCCATTTGCAGCTTTTCAAATCACATTTTTATAATTCAGTTAATCCAGAATACAGTTTTGAACTCACAGAATTATAGGAGAGATTGTGAAGAATTTTCTTGAAGATGTAAATTGTACTCCATAATCCAGTTGTTCCCAGTGTGTTAGTAGCCTAGCTTTCCCCTGATCCGGTGTTTCAAAAGGAGTTCCCTTTACTGCATGCAAAAACACATACATTCCCTGGGGAAAATGAAAAGGGAACACAGTGGCACTTTTAGCTATTTTTTTTTTTTTTTTTAGTAATTTCTACATTGTTCAATGCATTGTAAAAACGGAGAGTAAAAGCATTCTCAGCCTGGTCTCAGCATTCTCAAAGCTGCTGGTTTGTAATGACAAATTATCACAGAGGAGGGAAGAGAGAAGATGTGATTTGCCCCAGATTGTGCAGTCAGTGGCACAGTCAGAATTAAAGACAAAGTCTGTGTGACATCCAATCCACTGCCTTGTCTTCGACATGAGATGACAAAAAAATTGCATGAAATGAAGACAATTTTAACCAGTACTGCCACAAGCTCAGGGCTGCTGCGGTGTATTACCACTTACCTAACATAGTGTTAAGTCAGTTAGGAGGTAGAGTCTGCACAAAGCAAAATCTACCTACAAATAATGCCAACATTACAAGAACTTTAACGCTTTCTTAGCCCCACACCAGCTTCAAACACTTGTAAGCTGACTACCAGCAAGCTGTTGAGTATCATCTGTCCATCTCTTTGCTGTTTCTTCTTTACCACATTGGACTTCACTTATGATTGTTTCTATCTGATGGGAACACACCATGTGTACCCTGTTCCAAGAGATCAATGTGGGCCTACTGATTTCAAACAGGGGAGTCTATCCGCTTCCAGATTTAACAAACATTTGTTTTCTATCAAACTGAGCACATCAACTCCAAGCAAGAGTCTCTACCAGAAAATATCAAAGACTTCCTTTTCTTTCTTTCAGGTCCTTTCTTATGCACATACAGAAATGAATATTATAGAAAGCTTTATATAGAAAACATTTATTTTGAATTCTTATAAATGAAGTGAAATCTGAGCAAGTCACTTGAAATCATTTTCCCTTTTTCTTTTTTGGACCCCCCTGACTGTTAACTTAAGCAAATTCATTAATTTGCTTAATGATGTTTGTAGCGTCTCATTTTTAATACCTAAACCAAGAAGGCACTTTTAGAACAGATCCATATTCTTACTTCGTATTTTATTTTGCACTGGTAGTTGCAGAAAGGAGCACCAGAAATGCTTTCAACATCAGCTAAGAGTTTTCCAGTAGTGGAAATCCAAGATTTTGTTGTTTGTCAAACCATTCAAAGATTTGTTTCCCAAAAAGTACCATTTAAATGCTGAAATATGCAAAAGTCCAGTTTATACTTATCTTCTAGGGTTCCACTAGTACTTGCCAGTGCATGCTCTCATCCCTGTTGTCATTATAGCTACTTGTTATAATGAATTCGGTAAGGCATTTGGGAAATATTTAGTAATATTCATCTCTGCCAAGCATCATCTTCCCAAGACAGGCATGTCTGATGCTGACAACGATACCGTACACAATGCTCTACTGATGCTTACAATTAGTTTTAAACCTATCTACAAAAATAAAAAGCTTGAATAAAAATCACTTTATTTTTCACAGGATTCAAGAGGATATTATTCCACCTCAGCCTTTAAAGTGAATGATCATCTTCCTAAATACAGAAGAAGCTATCATTTTGTTAAGGCTTCTTCGCTGTTAATCTCAGAAAGCTGTATTAGCATAAAATGCTGGATTATGGCCCTCTTTTCATACATCACTTGTCCTCCCCAAACCAGCCAGCTCATTTGTGGATAAGCCAAGCAGAGATGGGATTTCATTATCCATACAACTTGGCTATTTTTCTCTTCTCCTGCCACTAAAAATAAGTATGCACGAACAACTTCTCAAACTCTGTTACAAGAGAGGGTACTTACCAGGTTGTGAATCACATTTGTTAAAGTCCAGGCGACAGGCACACTAAAGAAAGGAATGCTGAGCAAGACAATGTGCAGCAGGCCAACTCCGAGCGCATACGTCAGCCACATTCCACGACTGTTCATCACCCGTGTGTTTGGATTTACCTCGCTGTGGGCAACGCCTACGTTCATTTTTACCCTATAGAACAAATCTGTCTGAAGAGTGAGACTACTGTTATAGACAGTACTTAACATGTACAGGTTTCAGATTGGATAATGGATGTTTTAAATCAGCAGGTCTGGCAGCAAAACAGTGCATAAGCCAAGATATACCTCAAGATCTCCAAAGTATGGTTTATAGAGAAGTCATAACAAAAAGGGCTGTTAGGAACCATTTGTTTTTAAAATGCCCAAACAAATAAACCCCACAGTCTTGCTACAGAAGGGACATTTCAAAAAGAATAGCAAGCTGTGCTCTTGTTACCTAAAGTTGCAAACCTGTATGAAATCCAGCTTTGTAACTCTTGCCCTCTAAATTTTTTTCTCCATCCACAATATCTGCAGTTCTTACCCTCCTCTCATATCAATTTTCCTCCTCTTTCCTGCTCATGTAATGGCTAGTGAAGAATTCTGCATATATCAACTGCCCTGCTACCTGCCCTACTGCTATAAAGAACAAGGACTGATTGACGCTTTTCTTGCAGCAGAGTGCAGATTTCAGATTTCCTCCTCTCCCCACCTGCTAGTTTTCAGACAGGCATTTCCATCTTTCAAATCTGGATGAAATTAGCCAATGGGTTTTCTAAGTGACAGCCATACACAGAGATATAGAGAACAACTTCATAACACTGATTTCACCAGGAGATAGACAACTTACAGTGAATAACACTGTATTAGAATCTGTACTGATAATTATAAAAAATAATTCCGTATTTCATACTCACATGATCTGTGAGACTATTTATATTGTTATGGGCCTGGGATGGAGACTTTTTACTTCCTTCTAAATCAATCTACAAAGCACTGGTTAATCAACAAAAATAGCTTGCTTTTGGTATGAAGTTTGTTTCTTACGCTGGCTCAGTGCCACGAGATGCTGGTATTATAGCAATATTTTGCAATATTAACAGTGGACTATAAAAATAGATGCGATGAACCTGAAACTGAACCGTGACAGTGCTGACTTTAATCAATACTTATCGCAAAGTCTTTCAAGCCGTGCACTCACAGGGAACACATTACCTGAGACGTGTGAAGTGAGGTTGTTCCTCCCTCCCTAGGATACAGCACCGCCGCTGAGCAAGTACCTGCACACACACTTTCACGTTACCTTCCACCTTGCCCTATCTTTCCTATTTTCTAACTTAACCAGACTGACCCGCCCCCTCACCCAGCCCGCCAGACCCGTGCTTTCCCTCACAGCGGCACGGAAAAAGCAGGACCCTTCGCCTCCACGCACAGACGGCTCCCTTCCGGCCACGCACCATGCGGACTCCCCGCAACCCATCCTCCGGCCGCCCCAGCCCAACGGGCCCCGACGCGCGCCTCAGGGCTGGGCTCGGCTGCAGCTGCCGACCACCCCGGGGCCTGCTCGTAAGCACAAGCAGCGACCCGGCCCATCTTCCCGCCCTTCGCCTCCCGAGCGCAGCCCCACCTTTCTGGGCACCCACGGGCCGCGCTGGGACCGCGGCCGCCGAGAAGCAGAGGCGGAACGCTAGCCGCGGGCCGCAGGTAGAACCGGCCGGCCGCCCCGTGGGCGGTGCTGCCGCGGAGGGGAGGGGCCCGGCTAACTGCCCGCACCGCCCACCGCGCGGCAGCGGCGACGGCAGTGGTTAGCAGGGAGTGGGGTGGTGCGGTCGCGGAGGAAGCGCGGCCGCGGAGCCTGCTGGGGGGCGGGCGCCTGGGAAAGGCCGAAGGGTGCGGAGCTGCTGCCTCCCCTTGGGTCCTGGCCGGGCGACGACGCTTTTTGCCTCTGGCAGCTGGCTTCACCTTGGCGGGAACTGCTGCTGCCCAGGGACGGGCTAGGGCCTAGGGTGAGGCCTGGGCCTGGCTGGGCGCGGCGTCCCGCTCCCCTCTCCCTGCGGGACCAGGCCCCGTGAGGACCGAAGTCAGCAAGCCGGGCCCTCCCCTCAACTCCCCTCATCTTGTCGCCCTGTGGCGACGCGAGCTTAGTCCCCCGTGCTTTTTGTAATGAAAACCGGAACCGGGAGCTGGGGACTGTTGGTGCGGTTTTAGGTAAACTCGTGTGACCGCCGCGGGTTTTATCTGCAGCTTTTGTCCCTTTCGTTTCCACCGAACCGGTGGACTCCTGAGGAAGGTGGCTGTGGGAGGGGGGTTGGGGTCCTGCCCTACAAATCTGTGAGGCTGCGACTGTGAAGTTTATGGAGGTTTTGTCTGCAGTTTATCTGCTGTTGTGTAGTATTACAGCTGTCTAGAGAGCCCCTGTTGCAGGAGTGTCTGACTTTACTTAGAGGGGTAAATGAACTGCATTCAGTGATGATGCCCAAGGACAGAAACCACTGTCTTCCCACCGAGCACAGATTATAGTATGTCTGCCTAGTGAACAGTTATAATAGTAACATGGCTTGAGCTGAAATATGTATGTTTAATATCAGATATAAGGCAGAAGTTCTTCCCTGTGAGGGTGCTGAGGTGTTGGCACAGGGTGCCCAGAGAAACTGGCTGCCTCATCCCTGGCAGTGTTCAAGGCCAGGCTGGACACGGCTTGGAGCAACCTGCTCTAGTGAAAGGTGTCGCTTTGGAACTGGATGAGCTTTAAGGCCCCTTCCAACTCAAACCATTCTATGTTCTTTTAGCTGAAAGTAATCAAGGATTGGATGTATTTGCATAGGTAGCAAGTACCAGCAGGTGCCCCCGAGATGTGGCCAGCATGGCTTTATGTCCTCCCATCCAGTGAGCAGTTGGCACAGGGCCCTGCACGGGGTGTTTGGGTCCAGGGGAGGGGAGGGTAGTCCTGGGACTGGTTTCTTTCCCAAACCATCTGCATCAGTAACACCTCATGGACAGTTTGTCTTTGGGATCTGTAATGTTTCCCTTTTAAGACCCTCCCTTTTCTTAATGTCTTTTGGTAAAGATACCCAGCTCCGATCTGGTACTTGTCATTGCTAAATCATGAAGCACTTGACACAGGAGCCCTGTATAATGTGTGACTGTGTGGGGAAACCTGCCTCACTGAATGTGTATACATGATTAATATTGGTCTGTCTTCAACAGCCCTATTCTGTGCTCATTTTCCTGTTTGTTTGCTGGAACACATGATTTGTCACATGTTTTTACCACATACGAAAGGCAAACTCCCTTTGGAATATAAATAAGAAGTATAAAGAGAAAATATCTTTGTAGCAGTTCTTAAAAAGCCTTAATGCTGCTTCCTCTTCAAAACACTGTACCTTTTTTTTTGCCAAGTAACCATGTTTTGCTTTTGTTTTTTATGTTTAAAGAGTGGCAGCCCTTAGAAGGACATCAAGGCAGAGAGAAGTGTCCTGTAATTGTTGTTATCAGCTGCATACACCCTGCAGGATGGCAGTGCTCTGGGGTGTTGGTTGCAGGCCCCCACTGTGACCTGACTGTGTTGGGAGGAAATCTGGGTTTGTTCCATTCCTCCACACATGCTCATATCCTTGGGATGGGTGCTGAGTGTGCTATGTCGTCCAGCAGATAGCTTGGACTGAATGAATGGGAAAGCCAGGACTGCTGGGATTTTTTCCCCCTTAACACAACCTAGTAAAGAGCTGCTTTGGAGAGAAGAAACCCAGGTCTGAACTATTCTTGGGTGCAAAGAGCTGTCTAGCAATGCTGTTTGTCCGCCCTTCCTCACACACATGAAAAACTGTGGTTGAGTTCTTTGTGTCACTCTAGAAAGGTTACCAGAGATTTTTCTTGTGTCTGCTTGGGTACTTAAACAGAAATGCATACAAAAATTTGCAGATCCATTTACAATCTTTTGATAGTAGAGTATCTGTGTAATGATGCAGGAATTTTACACACCTTTGAAAGTGTTTTCAGTGGTAAAAACCAGGTATTTCCACTGGCTTTTGATACAAGGCATCTTCAAGTAAAAGATACAGAGGCACAGAAATACACTGACTTGTCTCTGTATGCAGAGTAAGTCAGATCAGAAAGGCAAGGTTATAATTCGGAAGGTTTTTTGTTCCTTTCTTCATTATTGCTAATAGATCTCATTGCCACTGAATATGATTTCTGCATCAGTACCACTGTGCTTCCTCCCTGCTTCTTTCCCAACTCTAAACCAGTTACCTTCAGGTCATATTTCTTCCATGATTTTTTGTATACTGGGGAATTTATTTATCAGTGCTGAAATCAGACCTGGTTCTGAGTAAATATCCTAGCTGAAGACATTTCTGACAAGCACTTTGCATTACCATCTGGTCTGTCTACTTTTGGAATTGCAGGATCCCAGCCATGTTACAATAGTTTAGCAGAGATGAGTACATAAGTGAGAGATAATACACTGTTTTGCTCAGTATTTCTCTGAATTCTTAGAAGCTTTTCATTAGAAGTTTAATCTACTTAAAATAGTGGTTTTTAGTCTAGACGTGTGTTCTGTTTCTTCTACAAGTCAAACTTTTATTGACTGCTCCTACTAACTGCTGCTACTGTATATTGAAAATTGTACTCTTCAGCTGTTTATGCTTCACTCACATTTAAAAGATGCCGTGAAACAATTAATTAGAAGTGTGTATTTGTAATGTGGCTCGTATTTTCTTACCTTTCTACACAGTGTCTCTGAATCTTATTCCACAATGAAACAGCTTTCAGCAGAGACAGTTCGTCTCCTTTCAAGTTCTCAGGTGATTACATCAGTTGTCAGCGTGGTGAAGGAGCTGATAGAAAATTCTTTGGATGCTGGTGCCACAAATATTGATATTAAACTGGTAAGTCCCCTTTCTTTCTCTAACAAAGACTTGAACGTAAAATAAGAGGCAGGGGAATTTGTTCCACTGCAAATGTATTTTTTAGGCTATGAAGGTTTGGGGAATGGTATTAATAGTAGTTATACATACATATTTTAATTTCAACTACAAATGGTCCAAAACCAGTTTTCATTAATGTTTTTGAGGCCCCACCAAAACAGTAAGGCATATTTGTACTCCTGAGTGTATCTTGGGGTAAACGCAGGAACTTCTTTAGTACTTCTTTTTCTACTTGCAAATTAACTTTCCTGACTAATAGTTTGTTCTAAAAGGTGTTGGGCTTAAGTTTTACTGCTAGATTGACATGTTCAATGCTCATTACAAAATACTGTCAGGAAGATGAAAATGGAAACAATAGAAAATGTTGATGGCCATGTTAGATATTGTTATAAATTACCACATGGTGAACTCTGGTTACTGCTAACATCTTATTTTTACAAGATGTTAAAAAAAGTTGGCATATTACTCAAGGATAATTGGGGGGGGGGGGGGGAGGGGGACGGGAACGTGGAGGAATATTGCTTGTAATAAAGAACTTGTGCTTTTTTTCCCCAGATTGGATTAAATGGCAAACATGATTAGTTTCTCTTGCTGCCATGAGTATTTCTGGTTTTGTGGTGGTTTGTCAACAGCTGCTTAGTATCAGCATTTCCTACTTTGCAAGAAAGTGTGTTGTTACAATCTGTATAAATGGATGTATCCAGAATAGCATCCAGTTTCCTTTCCTGCAAATAACAGTGAATGTATAAGCTATTCTTGAATTAAGTGTTAGACAAATGCTCTTAATTAGGAGGGAAATCAATTTTCTGCTTGTTTTTCTGTCCATGTCACTGCTTTCTTTTCTGAATAAGTCTCAAATGCTTTCCATCTGAGTCTCCTGCAGATGTTAAAGAGCATGCTTATTTGCCATTTGCCTTAAGTGAGTTGAAGGTACTTCTGTGATCTGTGATGACCTCTATCATCTCTATATGTAGGCTGAATAGTATCTTGTTTCATGAGTAACTCCAAAGTGAGCAGTTTGTGCACAGTTCTGGGGATAAGATATTAGAGTCAGATCCTGTGAGCTGATCAGTAACTGCAGAAAGTCAACAGGTTTTAGAGCCTTCAGAAATTGTTAGAACAAACCTTGTCTCTTTTACTGGAGTGCCAGTAGAGAGCCATGCAGATAGTGGGTGAAAAGCCCTCTAATTGCTGTGGGTTTCATGCTGCAATAACCAGCTGTTTCCATCATGAGAAGTCCCAAACCAATTAAAAAGAGTATTTTCAACCATTTCTAGTGCATGAGTCATCTCCACTACTCTTAGATTCTTTGTCAGTCCAGGCTAATCCAAATCACTGTATTTCTAGAGCAAACAAACCTGGCTTTACAGAGGTTGTCAGTTTTCAGAGAGTAAACAAGATTTGCTGATTGTTCTTCTGTAGGTTCTAGGGGAGAAGAAGAAACCTGTGCTTTGCACAACTGTAGAACAGTAATACTGAAAAATACTGGATTTTTTTTTTTCTGGGACTTTTAGTAATAATATTTTTATATCAAAGTGCTGTTTTAATGGCATGAAATTTAAATAAGGTCAACCACATAATGACACCCACTCAATGGCCACCTAACTGGATTAGCTCAAAAGCATCAGGGAGAATGGAAACTTTGAAATTCAATTTTACAGCTTGTGGTTGTTTTTTTTTATTTTTGCCTGAAACTTGCAGAATTTTCATTGTTTTAACCTCTTCTAGGTGGATTAGGAAGGCTAGCTGATTTGTGCAGACTGATTCCGTTTGCCTGAGCAAAGACAGGAATGGCTTTTTTGGAGACAGACAAGAGTTAGCCTGCAGGTGGAATGGTTCTCAGGTAGAAACCATGGAATGATCTGTTGTGGTGGGAAGCTTTGGCTAGTGCTTTATTTTTGTTAACTTGTTTGACCAAACTGCAATAGGTGATGTTACTGAGCATCTTTGCACCATGTTATCAATCAGCTTTTACACAACACTGGGAAAACATCAGCTTGTGTTGTAGTTTTAAATAATGCGATATTTAATTTCAGTTAAAAGCCAATCATTTGACTACAAACTGAACTGTGGCCTTCCTGTAAGGTGTTGAGTGGCGTCTATTTATTAATTTGAACCTCAGCTTTGTTACTTTTAGGAATATGAATATGGTGGAGCTTGCATTGTTGTTAGCAGCACAGTCAACTGCCTCTGTAGTATGACTGTGCATTAAGCATATATAGAATTACGTTTTTATACTTGATATGATGTCCTGGCTTCAGGTTAAAGTATGCCAAAAAAACATTGATGCAAGAATGTAATTGCTTGTGTATGGATGAAGAGACTTTGTGGACATCAGGCTGTCTGTTTTCCTGACAGCATCTAACAGCAGGAATTTATGAGGATAATCTGAACAGTCTGACTGAGACCTGCATATTTTAATAGAGACAATGAGGAACAGCCTGTGTTAGTAGTTGCAGCAAAGTTGGGGTTTGAGAACTGTGAATCTTAGCTACAGGTTTTCTACTGTTGTCTGCCTTTTTTACAATGGCCATTTCAGACACTTGTTTCTGCACCTTTTTTTCCAATACATGAAGTGGGAGCTTTAAGCCTTAGAACATTCTCAGAAGAAATTTAGCTCGGGGTTAGGTTCTGTTGTACCCGTGATCGATCCCATCGCCTGAAAAACAAAGGCCTACATCCATCTGCACAGCATTGCTAAACATTTGTGTTTCTTGTAATCCATTCATCTTGCTAATGCAAAAGAAAAGTAACCCAGCAAGCAAAGGGATTATTTGTGCCAGTTTAATAAGCTGAATTGACCTTAGAGCTGTCATGAATTACAGAACTATAGCTGAAACAAAGATGGGACCATGTATCTGTGAACAAAAGAGAAGGGAGTTGAATCATATGGCTATCTGGTGGAGCAACTTAAACATACCATGGGATCGTGATCTCAGTAGTATTTAGGTCATGTAACATGATGGAGGGTGTTATGAAGAATACAAAGTTTAAGCACTGTAATATTTTGCGTGAAACACGTGCAAATAAAAATAGGTAATAGTAGAAAAGAAATAGACTCATTATTGTAACATTCTGATGAAAGCTGGATAGGATAAATCTTGCTTTTCCTAAGCAGTTAAGTGGTTTGGAAGTAAAAATTAGAATGGAAACAGGGATTTCTTGTAAAATGCTCAAAGCCTTCAATAGTGCACACAGCAGCAGGATAGAAGGTTTCTTGTTTGTATCTCCTAATGTGTTTTTATGTTCAGCTGAGATGTATTATGTTTAGCTGAGTTGTGACAGCTTTAGGTTCTGTTTTGCTTTCCAGTGGGAGGATTGTTTTTCACCTGGAGGTAGCTTTAGCACCATTCATTAATGCAGAAAGTGAAAAGTACACGCATTTCTATTTTGTATCAATTAAATATATATATAGTTTTATGCCTACCTTAGAGAACTGTGATGTTTCCTAATGCAGATCATATTTGCACACAGATAATATCTGTAGATACCTTCCTTCTGGTTTTGTGTTATTTTTTTACTTCAAGAAATAACCCTGGGAGCACACTATATTTTTTCATAACTGTTTTCAGTATATGTCCAGCTGGGACAACAGGGTTAGTTGTGATTAATCAGTCAGCTTTCTGTGAGCAGCCATCATGTGCTCTGCACAGCATCAGTGGTGGCAGCCACTCATTCAAGATACCCTTTCTAAGCAAAACCAGTTTTAGGGTTGCCTGGATGTATTACGCACTACAGCACGTTTTTCTGTATGTTGCATCATAATCTTTCAAAGAGCCAGGCATGCTTCTGTGAAAGAAGTTTAGTGATCCTGCAGCTCCAATAACTTTCTCTTTCTGGCCTGTGATTCTACAAATAAGCAAGCTAGAAGCTGTAACCTTAACTGCTTCAGATTTGTCTTTCTATTCATTCAGTCTTTCTAGTGCTCAATTAATGCTTTGTTCTTTTTCTAGGAGAATTATGGGTTTAACAAAATAGAAGTAAGAGACAATGGCAGTGGAATCAAGGTTGCTGATGTTCCAGTTATGGCAATTAAACACTACACCTCAAAAATAAGCTCTTCTGAGGATCTTGAAAGATTGACAACATACGGTTTCCGTGGGGAAGCTTTGGGATCAATTTGCAGTATATCAGAGGTAAGTAGTTGCTATAAATGTGTTGAATCTCTTGTTTCATGATTATTTTTGTGTGTGATTGTTAAAATATCAGTGCAAAGACTTTAAATTTGTTCCAGCAGCCTGTCAGTGGTATGTTTTCTGAATAATTTGGCTTGTGTATGCTGTGTTTTACCTGCTCACAGAAGTCATGTCATACAGTTAAGAAGCAGTATGGATTTCTTGTTGGTGTCAGTCCTGCCCTTCTGTCATACTCCAGCACTCCATTTATTTTCCTCAGTCCGAAAAGTTTGGAGATAGGTTGCTTAGTGTTTTTCAGGGTAGAGATAATGATTCCTTATATATACACATATAGATACATGATTCCTTAAAACACTGGCTTAACCTTCTTAGTGTTTAGTAACAAATATAATGTCAAAGGGTATGGTGGAGTTTGCTCCTTGAATTAGGGTAAATCAAAATGAGGTGGTGGCCAGGAGAAATAATTTTAGGGAACTGATGGCCCACATAGCTACCATTCCAGTAATGATTTCTGCCTTGATGTTATCTAGGTGATTGGCAGTCATGGGATGTTGATGGGCTCCATATTGCACTCTGACATGTGCATGAGTGCAGTTGCACAAACTTTGTTGTCTGTATGAGTAAACAGGAACCTGTGCCCTGATCTGAGTCTGATCCATATGTTTGTGTTAAGAGGACTGACAGTGTACTGATATTTGGGATTTAACTTGTTGGCTGAAAGTAAGTACATTTGTTCAAAACCATCTGAAAAATGTTCAGTGTTAAGGGCACAGCATCTACCTGTTCCATTGTGCTCTGCCTTTCTGTATTCATGTTGTGCAAAGGTCAAGGTTCAGATTCTTCTGTCAGCCAAGCATTAGATCCTGTATGACAATACTGATAACCGTGTCTGATTATAACCACCAGCTGTCAAGGCCAGGAGAGATGTTACAGCTTGAATCCTTGCTACCTTGGGCTATATTCATTCTGCAGTAAGCAGAAGTGGGTTGTGTTTTGGATGGAGATTTCCAAAGATGCTTTCAGAAGTGTTGGTGTTTTGACAGATGATGGTGGACCTCAATCATTGGCTCTTTCTAATGAGTTGTCAGAGCAGAATGCCATCTGTTCTGTCTTTATAATCAGCTCTATGGTACATTTCATAAGAGATGGGAGGTTGCCTGAGTGTATCAAGTACTTTAATAGGTATTACTTTAAACTTTGAATCAGTAATTATGTTTATTAAATGCTCCTGACATTAATTGCATTCTGCCTGCCCAAACTGCCCCCTGAAGTTTCAGTTAAGAGGTAATTTGCTATTGGCCCTTAAGTAGGTCTGTAATACTGTCAGTTCCATGTAATCAAGTACTGTTTTTTCTCTCTCTAAGAGGCATGGCTGAACTCTGAATGATTCATAGGAGGCACTAAAATAAACCATAATATCCTGAAGCTCTGTGTGTGTGATAACCTTTACGTCTCTCAGGTGGTTAAAGTGCACTGATTCTATTGTTTAAAATGTTGATACCTCAACTCAGGGAACTGTAGTTTTATTTAACTTCTGGTTTATGACTGGCCTGGCTAAAGCTGATCTGTTTATTACCTTAATAGCTTACAAAACATGCTACCACTGATTGCTAGATACATGTGGGTGCAGAAAGATAATGTACTGTTTGTTTGATAGTAGTTGTGTTTGTGAAATCTCACATGAATTTAAGAAGCTGTCATAGTGTGCCTTTTCTCATAAATGATGAAAAGGCAAAATTATCAATAGATTTAGTTGTTTGTTTAACCTGTTTTAGAATAGAAGATATAGGAGTGTGTGTTGTAGGTAGTATGAATTGCTATGTGTGGTAGAAATGCATGGCTTTTAGTTAAATGGATAGAAAAATAAGTAATAGTACAGGATATGACTGAGAAACACCCATAGAAAAAACTTTATAAACTAATTAAATGTAACTGGTGAGTAAACTAATGCAATGATAAGTGTGGCAGTAAAGCTTATCTGAGCTCCTGCTGAACTTTGTGAATTCTTCATCAACATATTTTTCTTAAAATCGCTCTTTTCAGGTTTTGATCACAACAAAGACAGATGCTGACGATATCAGCACTCAGTATGCTTTGGATAGCAAGGGGCATGTAGCTTCGAAAAAGCCTTCTCACCTTGGACAAGGTAGGATGTTCTGATATTGCACTGTGACAGAAATATTTTATGTTTCTCTGAGGCTCTATTCGATGTTGAAATACCTGTTCTGTACTTGAAAGCCGAGTATGAAATCTTTTCATCTGCAAACGTGTCTTGCCTTATGTCTGTCAACTGAGGATGTGTTATCGTAAGAAATAATATGTCTTGTAAGTTGCTTTAGATAGTAATTATAAACTAGCCTCTCCTTCTCTGACTCACTTCTTCAAGTTGTCAGTGGAAATAAAAGCTGTAAAAATTCAATGCCCCAGGTCCAGGCAGACTATATATAAGTATATGAAAGATTTGCTCAGGACTAAAATAACGTTTCTGTATTTATCAAAATCCTCGCTCTAAAGGAGGAAGAGTTGCCTTGCTGCTATGTGAACAAGTTGCAGGAAGCAGCACGGCTACAGGACTAGGCAAAGTCCTAGTTCTTTCTAACCTGCAGGATGTGTATGGTGCTGGCAATCCTGCATGTTTATGTGAAAGATTAAAGGTTGCCTTGACCTTAGAGGTGGCCTTGGTGGTTCAGGCATGGTGCAGGTTTGGGGCAGCATGTCCTTGTGTTCTGCTCAGCCACTTGTTGCTCAGCAAGGACTGTTAAGGTCATGCTGTATCCTCACATTCGCAGTGTGTATTCATAGAAGAGGTGTGCACCTTTCTTGTGACAAGGGTGTGCTCCTTGGGAAGCACTTGCAGCTTTTCCTAGCTGGCTGCTTGTCAATATTGTGCCCACAACCTGCCCCCCAGCTGCTTGCAGTGCTCGTACCCCAACAAGGTCCTGACTACAGTCTGGCACCTCTGCTCAGCACCAACTGGCCACAGGGGACCATTAAGCCAGAAGAAGCTGCCGAGGTCCAGTACACGGGCAAATACTGAAGAAAATTGAGAGCTCTAATTTTAGCCAATATCAATCATTTTCAGGATTTAGACTGTAGTATTTTCCATGGCGGGAAAGCCTGTGGGTTGCATTGCCGTGTCTTTTGTCAAAATTGTTGAAGGATTAACTGAATTCTGTGACATACTTAATACTTTGAAATATCGTTGCGGGCAAGGATTTTGTGATAGTGTTGGTAGATGACTATTCCACCCCTTACTGTGTGTGTTGAACAGAGGTATCTGGCTCTTCAGGAACTACCCTAAAGCAAATGCTTGAGAAAGGCCTTAATAGAGCACAGTGTTCCTTTGTCTCCAGATAAGTCTGATTAGGTTCTAGTATGTTAACTGTTTTACTAATGAAAGTTAACTTAATATGCACTGAAAGTGTCTTCAGCTTTATTTAGTGCTGATTCTCACCACTGTCAGTGTGTATGAAAGAAAGATTAATGCTACAGTCATAACTCTGAATAAAGGAGGGGAATCACAGCACTTGAAGTGCTTTTTGGGAGAGGATGACTGCTAATTTGGTATATTTCTTCTCATGCTAATGTACTCTAATTTAGTATTACTAAGGTTTATTTTGTATGCAGCAGCATACAGATAGGTCTCTGCAATATCCAGTTAGTGGTATCCTTTCATAGTTATTTCTGCTTTTTTTTTTTGGTCACCTGCTTGCAGGTACTACAGTTACAGTTCTAAAGTTGTTTAAGAATCTTCCTGTAAGAAAACAGTTTTATTCAACAAATAGAAAATGTAAGGAAGAACTGAAGAAAGTCCAAGATTTATTGACAGCATATGGTATCATAAAACCAGACCTGAGGATAACCTTAACACATAATAAGGTAATATTTTTCTGTCAGCTGTCTTAAGGATCAGTTTCTGATGACTTACGCAGTTCATCTAATACTTGCATAAAATCTTTCCTCCTTGGGAATTTTCTTTCATCATAGGTTTGTTTCACTTCTTTTTTCCCTTCAGAGAGGTGTATTTATGCTGGTTACAGATTTAGATGATAAACTTCTAAAACTCAGGTTCAGATGGTTTTGGTCTCCTCCAACAGATACCTGGTTAGATATATATATATAAAATATTTTACATGCTAGTAGTGTAAGAATGACTTTACATGTTAGTGGTTAGTAACAGTGGTGGTAGTGGTGGTCTGCAGAACACAGAAGTGAGACCTTACTATGCCATGGGGCCTGATCAAGTGTTAACCTAAGCCAACTGAAAAAACCTCTCAAAAAGGTCAGGGTTATCTTGCTGTATGCTGAGTCATAAAAGCTCAATACATAATGATGGTTCTATTTTAAATAGTTGAAAAATTCAAAACAATTTGCTACATAGATGTAAGTGAGAGTAATGTGTTTTATAACAACAGACTTTTGTTGGGATAGTTGTTCTTTGTTTAGACTTGGAACAGATTCAGAGGCTACTTGGAGGCTACTTTGTCTTCACAGCATATTGAACATAGCTGATTTTATTGGCTGTGCTCCTGCTTGTTTTCCTTTTTTTGAGGAAACCTCTGCTAATGAATTTCCAAGTTGCCACAAAGTGGAGAGGGACATCTTGTGGCAAGATCCCTCAGCAATTCTTTTTCTGTTCCAGAATAATTTTGTTTGATCTTGCTACTGGGCCTGTTCATTGAGCAGTTTTGATCAGTTACTCTTACCAACCAAACATTCACACTTCAGTTCCTTTTCAGTGGGAATGACGAATGACACTGCTTTCTTGAAATGGCAACAGATTGACCATCCTTTTCTGGAGTTATAAAACATGCTCTGACTATATTTATGTATGTATTTCTAAAGAGCAAAGAGTAGAAACTGTGAAAAATAAAAGCCATCCTTGTTGCTATAGAATTAGTATTGCAAAGCTGAGAGTGTAGCTACTTTCAGTCTTACTTCATTGGGACTGCAGAAGGTTCAAAACCAGAGGTTTCAGGGGTGTGCACTTCTTAAGTTGTGTTAAGCTCCCTGATATACCTACCAGTGGTTCACAGTACTGGTCTTAAATGTTGGTTAATAAAACTAGTTTTGCCTTTTAGTGGTGGGTTTTTTTTGCTCTCTCTGAAAAGTTGCAATATTTTTTTTATGATGATATTTTGATTTCATCCCCCTTGATTAGACTGTTACATATCTTGGTTTTCTTTGTTTTCTCTGCTTAGCTTAGTACAATAATGTGTAATAAGTTGATCACATCTCTTTGTCACAATAGTTACTGCAAACATGTTGTGGAGAATGGCACAATAGCCATCACATGTTGGTTTTGACAAACTACCCTATTAGCTTCAGAGATAAATTCTTTAGTACACAGTTTGATTAGGTAAAATAAATCAGTACAGATGCTATCTGCAGGCAGTATCATTCATTGTTATGACAGAGATGATGCTGAGTTTTTGGGCTCTTCATTTTGCACTGCCGGCCTTAGGTTTGTTTTGATCTGTTAGGAGAAGAAGCAAGCAAACGAGAAACTGCTCAAACGTTTTAACACAAGAGGTCGCTCGGTAGCTGTTGCTGAGAAGAGAAAATGAAATCATGCAAAGTCTAGTCAGTCTCTCCGCATGTGTAAATTCTTTGCAATAGTTTGAAAATGCTAATCTTTTAATGCAGATTCCTGTCTTTCTACTGCTGCTATTTCTTGCGAAATAAAACATCACCTACTTCATCATGCCTTTTAAGACGTTTGAAATTGTTAAATTCTACTGAATTGGGTTCTGTGGTTTGTTGTTCTTTTTTTTTGCGGGGGGGAGGGTTGAGGGGTTGGGGGCTGGTTTTGTTTTTGGTTCGTGGAGGTTTTTGTGGTGGTGGCTGTTATTTCTGTTTGAAATGTTTTCAGAGAAAGAATCAACTTACTAGAATGGCTTTATCTTTCACATAGCTCATAGATTATGTATTAGTTTAAGGAAAATGGATATGCATTTATTCAGAGGGATTCCTAGAATTCCAGATTCTTGAGGCTGAGCCAATACTTTCTGTTGCAATGGAAGAAGATACATGTCAGGAGTAAGATCAGGTTCTGAGTTTGAAAAGAGCATGAAGGTAGCAGACATGAGGTATTACAGGAGATGAGGAAAGATGGGTTGAAAGAGAAGAGATAGTAAGTGAAAAAAAGTGTAAATGAAAGTGTATTTCAGAGAAACCTTCAAAATAAATGGCAACACTGGGACATAAAAAACCCCAACAACCGACCAGTCTTTGAACTTATATATTTTGTAAGAAACTAAAGGGGGATGGAAGAAAGCATAGCCCTAGCTTTACTAAGGAAGAATGTAATGAGGTTGAAGCTTTCATAGAGGTGTCTGAAGCTGGGCATCTGAAATGGCTGCCTAATAGATTCTAGCAGAAACTTATTTTAGCAAGTCAAGCACTTATGGAGCTGTTGAATGTATATATTTTATATATATATATATATATATACACACATGTTTTTAGGATCCACAATATGTTACATGTTTTATTTCCACTATGTTTTTTTTTGTAAAGGTGTGCCTTCTGCTTCTGAAAGAGATTTCCAGATTTTTTTTCTTCTTCTTGTGCCACATTTTATCTCTGTATTGGTTAGGAAAATACCACCATTAAGTGTCTGATCTCTTTTCTGTGAAGAACCATAATGCTTTTTCTGCCTTTGGGTTTTTTTTTAGTAAGTAAGAAAATAGGTATCCTTATATTAGTCGTTCTAAGGTTCATTTATTGTGTATTCTCTGTCAGTGGATTTTCAAGATAGAAAACACTTGATTTCTCTTTCTGCTCAGAATGTTTTGTTTGCATTAGCAATAAATAATGAATCACTTTGCAGATCAACCTTTGAAGTACTATTGCTATTTTGACAACTTGGATTAGCTAGTGCTCCTTCTTTTTCTGAAGGTTTATCCTGCCAAGACATTCTTTGAATACTGATAATGTTGATCCTCTTGCCAGTATGGTTATGTTAGAAAGAGGTATTTTTCTTCTTTCATCACCATGTTCCTTGAAAGCATATTGAATAATGAGACAGCCAAATGGAAATAATTTACATGAGTATTCAGCAAGTATATTTAAAGTTAATGTTATCTGAAGGCATGCTAAGAACATTACAAAGTCAGCTGCCGCTTAAATTGTATCAAACTCTTCAGCCCCAAATGCTATGTTCTGGCCACCTATGAGCTCTGGCTATAATTTACCCAAGGTGGTGGGGGGTTCTTCCCCTTAACTCAGTCTTGCAAGCCACTTACAAGTTCAGGAAACGCCTTTGTGTGTTGAAAGGCTGATGAGATGGAATACTTTAATTCTGGTCTAGTTGCCTATATTCCACAAATGCTGAAACAAGAGAGGACACCCAATAACTATACCTGATTTAACAATTTCAGATATGATAGGGCTGAACAAATTATGGCAACAGGTGGTTCAGATGGTGCCTATCAGCAGGTCATACCATATGCAAGTGGTCCCATGTCTTGTGCAAAGCACAGGTGGGCCATAAGGAGACTCAATAAATTTTGCAGCTCCTGTTGAGGAAAAACATGCATAAGGCAGTATTTTTTATCTGGTATTTTTCATGCATAATATTTTGAGGCTTTGCTCACACACAGTTCTGCCTCTAACTGGGTCTTGTTTGTTTGTTAAGAGAATCATGGGTCAAAACTTCTGGATGCAAGAGGTCCATTTTAAATCTGTTATTGTAACTGTGGGTTGTATTTTTCCCCAGACCTCTTTTGTGGTTGGTGTTGACCTAAAGGGTACCATCCTTTTTTTTTTTTTTTTTCTTTGCAGTAACTCTCCTTGTATTTCCAAAGTTGGATAATCTCAACCTACAATCTGTGTTCAATAGTCCAAAACCAGTTTGTTTTCTGTGTCTGAGTTCTCTGTAGTAAGTGTGGAGGTTTTTGAAACAGAGTAAGTGCATTAGGGTAAATTTATCATTTTTAATAGTGCCATCATACTTTGCATTCATTCATTGTGCTTCCAAACTCTACTGTCCCTGTATGTTGAAAAGAGATCTGCATTGAGCAGAAACACCAGCATGTAAGTTCTTTCGTGAGTTGGAAAGGCCACTCTGTTTAATGTAATAATGATAATTTAAGTCCCTCCCTAATCTGTGTGTCTTAAAATTTAAAGAGGAATTATGATTAAGAATCATGATTAAGAATCTGCAGTGCCATGCTTTCATGCAGACCTGGAATACAGCTCAGTGTTTACTCCCATTCATTGTTCAGTGGCTTTGCTGAGAAAGCCAAACAGGGAGTTAATTATGATGTTTTTTGTGCTGAGGACACCTGTCCACTAGGAAATGCGCTGAGACCCCCAACTCGATTTACATCAGGCAGAGAACAGCTGCCAGATGGTAACTACTTTTGGTCACCACCAACCTGGTTGAATTTGAACTGGTGACCCAGAGGTGAAATGCTTTATATCCTATTACTAATTCCTTGAGGTTTCCAGTTTCTCATCCATCACTTTTTTCAAATGACAGCACAGTATATGTCTGAAATCTCAAAACAATTACTGTTTCACATATGTGGGGGTTGTTGCAGAATCTGAGAGGTGCCCTTAGCTCTTGCAAGGCTTTCACACTCACTTTGTAACTTAAAAAAGGTTAGCAGAAAAAGGATGTTTCAAAGCTGCCTGGGAGTTTTCCATCTTCCTTACCAACATACTTTTATTTTTAACTGCTATTTTACAAAAGGCTTTTAAACTTCCTTTTATTTAATGGAATTTACTGTGATGATGTACGTCCTCTGAATGACAGTTTAGGATTAGGAACTGTGTTTTTTTGACAGTAGTTTAATTGTTTGGGAGGTTTTACTTATTTCCCTCCCCCCCCCCCCCCCCCCCCCCCTTCTGCTATGGAATTCAATTTCTGTAAACCCTCATAGATGAACATGTGTGGTTAAAGCAGCCAAAAAACTTGCAGCTCTCTGTAGCCTTTGTAATTCTTGAAAGGCTCTGAAGACGTGTTACCAGATAAAAGGTCTTGGTTCCTTGTAATAATGTTAACTCCTCTCCTGACTTATCTCCCAGCTCCAAATCCAATTTCTCTACTGCATGATGCTCTAGAAAGCCTTTTCATTGAGAAATATCAAAAAAGGGAAATCTAGGCAGGAAACACATGGGAATTTGTAGGATGAATGGTGCTCTGGAACATTACTGTCTTTCAGCAAGTCTCCTTGATAGCTGTAATGCTGATGCCCATGGGGTAATGAGGTGTGTCAGCTGCATCTGATGAGAGGAAAAATGGTGCCTTGAGTTTCTCTTGCATACCTCTAGTGGTAGTTGTCCCACCATAACTTCTGAAATGGGTGGGACACCTGATTCCTCATGGCAAGTATAAAATAGATGGGGAAAATAAATATGATTGTGTAAGGAGTCATGTTACTGTTCTTTAAGCTAAATTGAAATGCTGCTGTGATCTCTGTTCAAGGAAAGATCTCACAAGAGCTCTCTATTGGTCAGATAATTTACCATTGGTTTTAAAACAAGACATCAGTTATGGCATGGAGCTGATAAACAACATCAATGCTTTTCAAAGCTGGGATTTTAAAGAATGTGGTTAGGACTTTATCCTGAACCTTTCTTGATTTTAGCTGATAGGCTTTCTTCCACTGCTGAGAATGTGCCAGCCCGTGCAGCTAGATACAAGGTGATGTCTTGTTTTGGATGTTGCTGCTTGTCTTTGTTCCTGTTTATAAAAACAGGCAGTGTTTTTTTCAGTTATGTTGGAGCCTAATAAACTATCAGGTTTTAGGTCAGGAAAGCTAAGGACAGGATTTTAAAGCAAGTAAAAGAATATTAGACTGTGAAATACAGTTCTCTTTTACAGAGCTAACTCATGTTACCAACCTGCTGTTCATGTACCATGAACATAGAGGTACATAGAGTTACTGTTCATGTACCCTGAACAGTACCTCTACTAAACTTTTACGCCCTTGAGCATTATTACAGAATAAATAACACAAGGATCGTCACAAAACAAATGAAGAAATTAGGGGGTTTCTGGGCAGTAAAAGTCCATTTCATTATGTTACTGTCATTATGTAGTAATAACTTGTAGCATCATGGTTGCACTGAAGTAGTCACAGCCAGCAATAGCATCCAATCCCCAGCTCTAATTAAGGTTTTTCTTTTGTCTGTGATTGCAAATCATTGTGGCTGCTGGTAGAAGTTCTGAAATATAAAGGATAGTTAAGGATGAGGAGTGGCCACATTTTTTCCTCTGTCCTTCCTCGGTATCTGAGGAGACAAATATGAACAGCGCTTACCTACTGCCATATCCCAGAGACCCCAGTGGAAAGAGGTTGCATACTGTTTCTCCACTCTTCATCAAGAAATCCTTCTGGGCTATGTCCCTAAGTAAGAGATGTCTTCATGTGTGCATGTATATTGTCATCCTCCACAAAAGTATGCATATATCCTAGGGCTGGATGGAGTGGAGAAATACATACACATACATGCACATACTTACCTTCTGTGTATGTGCAATAAGTTTTATATACGTTATGACATTTTGAGGACCTAGATCAGGTAATCCCTCTCAATGAAGCAAGGAGGGAGGTTGGATATATTTGGCAAGCTCTAGCAAAACCTAAGACGGGCCATATGTAATAATATATGTTTGAGTAGGCTGTTTCTGCAGTGTCATCATACTGACTAGAGTCAGATTCTTCCTTGGCTCATCCTGGACACGCGCTTTATATGACCTAGAAAAAATATATAGAGGAGAGTGTGGGGGTGTATTTTTAGCTAAACTAAAGGGTATCAGTAAGGTTAAAAAAATAGGGTATTGCAGGAACCTCATGGAAACAGGCATTTGCTAAAATAAATTAAAGGAATTGGCATTGTTTCTTTGTGGATTTGCTAATGCCTGTTGATATGCCTGGAGAGTGTAGACAAACAATTTTCTTTAAAGTATTAGCTATTTCTGTGTTACTGCTTCATAACTTGCAGTCAGGGCTAAAAATTAATATACCATCTAATTGTGCTTACAGTATAGTAGTATATAAATTTATATATATAAAATACTACTATACATATTTATAGTAGTATAGAAATTTAGGAGTTGTCTGGCCTTTTCAGTATGTAGACTTTAATTTAATTTGCAGCTGCAACCAGTTCCCAAAACTTTATCTGTAGTTCTGAGCATTAGTATCTGATAAATATATGAATAGTTAAAAAATACCCCGTGAACTTATTAACAGTATCTACTTCTAGCAAGTTTGCATTTAATAAGTTCTTGTTCTCCAGAGCTTTCTTACAACCACCTTACTGAAGTGATCTTTTTACAGTCCTGAGTATCAGCCATTCAACAGGTCCAGCAGTGTAATAACCTTGCATTAATCAGCAGCTAAGACTTATATCTGTACCTGCCACATCACACTAATATAACCTAAAATAAACAGCATGATGTTTATATTAGTCATGTAACAAGTGTCTTTCTCAATTTGGTCACATACATTTAATTTAAAGTGTATCCAGTAAAGAAAAAAAAAGGCTTGGCACTCTGTGTTTCCATTTTAAGTAATCAATTTTAAAATAGAAGCAGTACAGGATATGTTTTATAAGAGGAGCTCTAAAGAAGAGGACAGATTCTTTCATCACTCCAAAATGTCTTTGAGGAGATTTAAAGCAGGTGTTACGGAGAGAGGCTGAGAGGCAGTGTGCTGTGGGCAGCCCTGGGCTGTCCTTAGCTGCTGCCTGCTGCAGAAGCACGGCGGGGACTCCCTGACAGAGCTGTGGACACCCAGCCCATGGCTGTGCCTGCTTGCTTCAGCTTCTCCTTGCTTCAGCTTCTCCTCTGCCCTCCCTGAAGTAAATTGTCCTTTATGTTTGAGGGGTTCATGTTCCCTGTGGGATGGCTGAGTTGTGATCCAGCATGTGACAGGCTTGTGTCTAGGAGGTTTGTTAGATTCAGGCAGACTGAAAAGCCCCACTTTGCAAATGCTGCAGAATGTAAGTAGAAATGGAAAATTAAAGATCTGGGGAATAGTTTTAGGATCAACAGTCTCAAAGCTTTACAATTCCACCTGTCCTGTAGGAAGAGAATATCATTTTACAGGAGCACCGTGTGCTTCTGTGGAATTCACCCCTGAAGGGCAGCAAATATCGCTCTGGACAGGTGGAATTTTAAGGCTGTGTATTGCATTTCTTGAGACGGGTGCATGTGTATTCTTTGCTCACTCACCATGCTTTCTCATAACATCCTATACCAGTATACTGTGAACTCATTTTGAATTTGGTGGACACCTAGCACCTAGTTAAAGCATCTATTTTAAACAGCACTAATAATTACTAAACAGTAATATCAGGCTTAAATTGCAACTTGCTGCGGTTTTTTTCTTTTGTGTTTTAATGTTGCAGATTGAAATACACTCGGTCAGCTAATAGCAGACATAAGTGGATCTGAATTGAGCAGTGTCAGTTGCCTAGAGGCAGAAAGGCAACTAAGAAATTTTTCTTAATAGTTGATACACACCAATAAAAGTCAGCAGATTTGGAGTTAAATTCATGGCTATTTAGTATAGGACTTCTCATTAGTGAGAGACAAAATTTCAACCCCCAAAGTAGCTAATATTTACTCTATATGTAAGAGGACCTGACAGGTACCTTCTGGTGCAAGTTGCAGTTCATACTGCCTTACTGTATTTAGTAAATCTTTGCAATAGTATTGCAACATGTGTAGCTAATAGAGGAGATATCCTTTTATTCTTTTAATATTTATGAAGTTTTCCTTAGACAACCACTTTCTTTATGCTTCCTTAAATACTGCCTCCCTTTCTAAATAGCAGGTTTGTCATAGACTTAGAGTATCCAGATAAGAGCTATGAATGGGCATCCAATAGCCAGATTTCTACTAAGCCAGCCTGTATCTTGAGTATAGGTACCATAAACATTGCAGTCACCTTCAAACGCTGACCACTGTGCCAGAGACATGTCATACGCCCTCAATATATATGCTTGGTGAAAACACAAAGCCTACTGCTGTACATCTAAGAGAAGTAATATTTTTTATTTGTTCTAATAATTGTTTCCTGTGCAGAAGACCAGATAAGCCCTGTAACATCCATAAATACAAGCTTGCTTAATTTTGCAATCACTGTGAGTCTAAAGAAGTAATACAATATGAGAAGACATGCCAAAAAGTACCATATCGTGTGTTAACATTGAAAGCTGTGATTGTAAGAGGGTCAAAGTACAGAATGTTACATATACAGTATGTGTGCAGTTGCATATGCATGTTCATAGACATGAGTTCAACAAATATAATGTCAAAAATTTGACTCTGTGCCATTTGCTTCAGGCAGTTATTTGGCAGAAGACCAGGGTGTCAGATCACAAAATGGCCTGTATGTCAGTTCTGGGAACAGCCGTTATGGGCAGTATGGTACCTTTTCAACACTGCTGTGAAGATCCTGAGGTGAGTTTAAACTTCCTTATCCCAAATCCACTTAAAGCGTCAATAAAGACACCTCAATCAGTATTCAAAAAGAAGGAAACTTTGAAAAAGAGACTGTTACCTTCAGATTGACACATGATTAATACATTTGCTTTTATTACCGTCCTCTCTGTAAAATTTATTGGTTTGGTGATTGAAAATCCACTCCCAAGAATTATCTAGTCAGGACTCATGTGGCACTGATCAAATGGCAGTATAAACAGTTGCGATGACAAATGCAGAATTGCTGATTGCTCAGGGATGTCTAGGTGGGTGCATTCAGCATGTTAAGTTGTATTTAATGGGATTATTCAGACTTTAATATATGTATGTATTGCAATTTAATAGTATTATTTAGACTTAAATCTTGAGTTTGTCAGAATGCTTGTAGTATACTTATACAGGGTAGTGAGGGGAAAATAGTAAACCTGCTTCTTGTAATTTACAGTGTTTTAGTTGTTCATGTCTGAGCAGAGCATCCAGAGTCGTTCTTACCTGAATGCAGGTTGGATGTGTCCCACAGGGCAAGTGCAGGGAGTTCCAAAGGGAAGACATGGGGGTATTTAGAAGGGCTTGAAGGAGTCACTCAGGTTCTCACATTACCTCTCTGCTATATCATGAGGCATCCATATTCCTTGAATAGAAGTGGGGGAACATTCCATCTCTCCCTCTCTAAATAGTGTGTAGAATAGCATGTGCATCATTTATAGGTATATAAGTGATCCATGCATATTGCTTATGCACTAATCTACATTCAGAAACCACGGGCATTTCTAAATTAAGCTTCCAAACACTGAAATGACAGAATTAAGGTTGCCTGCGTAACTTTCTTTCTCTGCTGTGTGCAGGTATTGGGATAGGTATTTAGTAACAAGCCATGTGCTGCTTTTTTCCTTCCCATGCCTCATTCAGTACACAAACCAGAGAGCAGCTTTTTTCTTTTTTTTCCTTTCCTGCTTATTCATTGTATAGTTTCATACTCCTTTGCTGCAAAATTTACTCCAAAGACAAAATTAATCTTGCTATAAACAACTTTCTGTAAGCTGTACCTTACTAACTGCAGAGTTAAAACTTTTGTGATCCAGGGGTTTCAAAGACTGGCCTTCAAAACATCTCCATGAAACAAGAGCACATTTCAAGCTGATTCCAAAGCATGCACATGAAAACTTGGGAGCTACTTGTAAAATAAAAAAGAAAACTAAGCAAATAAAAAATTGGCACAATTTTTTACATGTATAAAATAGCATCTGTGCTTTTCGCATCCCCAGCCTTGTAAATGGATGGATCTGTTTTGGCTGAAAACTCACACAGGAAATTTTCCTTGTCTCTCCTTCTGTGGAGGTTAAGTTTAGCAGATACAAGTGAAACAAAGTATCTGGGACAAAGATAAGTACTTAAGAAAGACCGTATATTGTCAACACAGATATATTTAATACTTGTATAAATTGATTTTTATTAAAGTTATTAATTTTGAAAAGTTAAAAGCAAAAATTCTGTAATACGTTCTAGTTTGTGATTTTGTCTCTATGCTTCTTATCTTTTTAATGTGAAAATTCTAATAATTAAGCATTAGTTGTAGAAATTGTTGCTGACTTCACTGAGCACACTGGTATTCTGCATGGCTGTAAATAGTAACAGCAGTCAGCCACTTCTAAATCTGTCAACTTCTTAAATGGAGTTATTTAGAGACTTTCAGTTTTGCTTTAATGTTTGTATATAAAAAATGTTGTTTGGGGTGAAAGACTTTTTGCACAAATATTTGGGAATTAGAAAAGGAGCTTGAAGCATAGAGGAGGAACATTCAGGGAGGATGTGATAAAGTTGCAGAATAAAATCTAGAAGTGCTGCATGTTGTTTTCTGATAATCATCCAACAGATATTTGACACCTCTTTAACTTGACCAGTGGTGTTTGGTTATGTGCAAGGTTGCTGACCAGAACACTCCAGCTTTAGCACAGAATGCTTATTACAAGGTCAAGAGGAGTACATGAGCAGATAGCTGGTGTGACGTAGATGAATGGGAAGAATAGGCTAAATCCCAGGGATTTTAAATTCCATTTCAAATGTATGATAATTTGGATTTTAGTAAATACAAGTGGCTCTGCCAAGAGCAAAGCTAACAAGGTCTCATTTTTGTGTTTGGTGATCCACCCTCCTACCAGAACATTCTAGTCTTTCCCATATCTCCAAAATCTCCATCCTTAGCATGCCCCAGTGTTCCTTCACCTATTAGTTGGTGCCAGTGGCAGTGGGGTGATGCATGGGGCAGTATGTGGGTTGATCGAAACATCAGTTCTTACATGCTAATGGGTCCTGGCTTCTGAAAAGTTATATTTGCCTTTCCCTCAGTAAGGTCATTATCTTGAGGCTGTCCTCTCCAAGCAGCTGTCAGTTATCACAGAAATTGTGGAAATCTAGTATCTTTGGGATTTCTGCTTCTTCATCAGATTGAGCTGAAATCGATCCAGCAGTTTCAAAGCTGCTTGGTAGGGGAGAGGGGGAGGTGATGGGATAGGCAGCAGAAGTCATCGGCTTCATTTTGACCTGAAAAAACTAAGCTGAAGAATCTCAACAGAAAAATCTTAAAACTTGGAGTTCGTTAGGGACTCAAATTGTGTGAGCTTTTGAGGCTCCTTGGCAGTGCTGTGTGCTCACAGGTTCTGGTGGGGTCATGGGTGTTTAGCACTCTCGAGAGTCAGCTGATTTGGATACAGGTGGCGTACGTAAATTTAGGTGCCCTGAATAAATGCCCTGTGACAGGCTATTTAAAGTGCCCTGCATGTAGAAAGGAAAGGACTGTGTGTTTTGGGCTTTCCCCACAGGAGTAATTCACTGACTGCCTTCACCACATTGGGCAGCAGTGCATGCCTTTAGCTTGTACAGGGGTTAAGTTGGAAAGCCCACAGTCAGCAAGCCTAAAGCTGGCCAGTGTTGTTCTCTGCAGTCTTTGGCTGCAGACAGCAATGTGATGCAAGTGGTAGCCCAAATGGGGAAATTTCTCAATAATTTCATCAAGAAAAATAGATACAAACCCATCCTTCTCAATCTCTTTCTTTTTTAAATTGCTTTTACTTTTTTTTTATCATAACTTTCAAGAAGCAATGCATGTGTTTGACTTGGACTCCTGTACAATTTCATCTTAATATCTCACCTCTAAAAAAAACTCCAAAACTGTTTAAAATACTTTTTTGCTGTATTTGTTTTACCATTGCAGATAAATCTCTCTGGATTTCTCCCAAAAGCTGAGTCAGACAGTTCTTTGACAAGCCTTTCAAGTTCAGAAAGGAGTTTTGTTTTTATAAATAATCGTCCAGTTCATCAGAAGGACATACTGAAGGTAATATCCTTTAGCATTTTATTCAAGGAACAGAAACATTACTTGTTTGAGGACAGAGACACCTATGTAATCTACAACCTTTTTCCCACATAATATAACTAGAGGCAAAGATACTAGCGTTGTAGTTTCTTGTAAGAGAATTCTTCTAGAAGTAGTTCTGATTTTGTGTACTTCTTGCTGTGGGCTTGTCAGGCAAATACACGCACTTTCCCTTTAAATTTCTGTATGCATTGGATAAAAATGAAAGTGATAGTGCAGCAGCACTGGCTGCAGCTAGTCATTGTACAGGCAGAATTTGATACTCTTGGGTTTCTCACACTACTAAACCTTACAACACCTCATTTGGAGCAGCCTTGCTGTCCTAATCCTTGCCCTCCTCAGAAAGGAAAATCATATTCATGCCAAAGTGTACATGTAAAAAAAGGTAGAGTCCATGAAGAGTTTTCAGCTGCTGGCAAAGCTTTATAGATTTAAACCGTGAGCCTGTGTTGGTATGTTAAGTGCTAAATAATGCTAATCCGTCTCCATACAGTATTTGATGTGCCCGGTTCTTCTGGGAGTTTAAAGCTCAGCTTGAGTCCCACAATAGAATCAACGGTTAACCACAGCACAGAAGCCTAGTTTCAGTGAGGTTGTTCTTGTAGCAGTGCAGATAATAGTGTTCCACTGACTCTGTGTGTGTGTGTCAAGATTTTTAATCATTTGCTTTTTTTGGAGGAGGGTGGTTGGGGTTTTATTCAGCCAGGTGAGGTTAAGTACACATCTGTAAGAACACATTTTGGTGGGTTTGGAAAACAAGCTATAGATCACTTTTATCTTCGTGAAGTGTATGGGGAAGAAGTGATGTGGACCTCTTATTACTACAGTTCAGTGCCAGCTGAACTTACCACAGACTGTGGTAAGATTGAGGTTAGAATAACTTGAAAATATTTAAAGAATTTTTATGTAATTTAAAAAATATTTAAGAATTAAAAAACTCCCAAACAATTAAAAAAATTAAAATTTAATCTGCTGTGGCTCTTAGGTTTTTACAATCAATTTATGATTTCTTTGTCTTGTTAATGAATTCTTTTCTCCAGGATGTACATCTGTGGAAGGATCCCTGATACTAGAAGGAAATTCAGGGATCTTTATTTGACCCTTCTAATTAACAAGACCAAAATTCTGAAACAACTAAATAATTCTGTAGTCTTTTGGAGGAGTTTTGGGGAGGATCATAGAGAAAATAATAAGGGCAAGTAGAGCTTGAGGAAAGCTGTAAATATATCACTGGGTTAAAAAAAAAGGACAAAATCCTGTTCTGGAAAAAGGGCAGATGTGTAGTGCAAGTGGTACCTTGTCAAACAGACTTTGGTTTGGATGAAAGAGACAGCAGTGAAGTTACATGCTATATGGGTAGATTTTCTTTAAAAACCAGCCAGCCAAATAATAGTGTTTGTGTTGATGAGGAAGTAAGTAACTGGAGTTGCAGTCCAATCTGGACATACCATCTTTTCTTCAAAGTGTGATCAGTACATTCATTCAGAAAGTCGAAATAGCAACCATTAGTATCTTGAAATTGGTTCCAACCAAAACTCCAACACATCTTTTGTGCTTTTATAATGTCAAATTTTGGTTTTGTGCCTTTGTGTCTATTTTATTGCCTTTACTGACATCTCTTTATTAAATCAATCTGTAGTTAATTCGACAGTACTACAGTCTGGTGACACACAAGGACTGTACTCATTTATACCCTGTCTTCTTTTTGAATATTACTGTACCTGCCTCTACTGTGGATGTGAATTTAACACCTGATAAAACTCAAGTTTTACTGCATTATAAGGTAACTAAGATTTTAATCTGGTTTTGAGTTGTCAGCCTTTTACTTATATAAGCAGAACAAGGGCTCCTGGGATTATGGAAATGTTTGAATATAAGCAGTGCCACTTTTTTTGTTTGTTCTGTTGTTTGCTTTAGTTACGTGGTAGTTTGCCTTTATCACTGGACTGTTTTGTTTGAGAAGTATTGAATAGTTTAAGTAGAGTATTATTCCAAATTCATTTCCCAGTTGTTGTCAGGGATTTTTACACTGTCAGATATATGCATGTATCACTTGGTTTTCAGATGGCTTTATAGTGAGAAAAGCTAAATGGAACTACGATGTGTCCCTACATAAAACTCATGCTTAACTTGATACCTGCACAAAGTAATCACTTCTTAAACACCACATGCATGAAGGGAGAATGTGGGGGTGAATTGATTTCTGGTCAAAGCAATATTTTGCCATTATGTATATAAACTGTTGACATCACTGAAGTTTCAGGACATCCTTTTCATGCTATCAGGACCTGAAATTTAGACCATATGTACCTTTGTTTTAGAGGCTGTATAGTGATAAATGCCCATAAAGTTGCTTTCACTTATGAGCACTTCATATGAAAAACAGTGCCACAGAAATTAAGAAGGCAAATAGGTAAGGTCATTCAAAGTAAATACAGATAGTCACACCAGTATGTTGATCTTCTTCACTGAAAGCTTTTGTATTTGTGTTAATCTTGTAAAAGTACTACCTGTCAAATGTCGCCTATATGAAAATTAACACAGCATTCTCTCATTTGATCCAGTTAAAAATCTTTCCTTTCATGTTAGAAAAATGGTTGGTTTTTTTTTGGTTTGGGGTTATTTCTTTTTCATTTCCATCATTTGGTGCAAATCTGTCTTGGAAGCAGGCATCGTAATAAAGAGACTACACAAACATGCTTACATGAAAAGGGTTGGTGCATCTGTCTTGACTGTAAGTTTCTAACTCCATGTTAGGTGGGAATAGCTTTATGTGATACTGGTTTAAGCAGTCAGTACCCTGTTACAAAGAAAGCAGTTAATTGTTTTTGTGATGTGCTAGGTATTCTGCTTCACTGGTTTACTCTGACAAAATATTTGAAGTATCCAGTTCAAGGTCTTTTTGAGCATATGTGAACAACTGCACTGCAATAATCTGTCCAGATTTGCTTGAAAAATATTCTGGATAAAATTACTTTGCTTATTCTTCTATATCCTTAATATCTGTCAGTTAGATTTTCAGGCGTGCTTGTGTGTGTGGCTTTTCTTTTGTGTTTTTTTTTTAATTTTTTTATTTTTTATTTCCCCAGGAATCTGTCTTACTTGCTGTTGAAAATGTGTTGAAATCACTGTATGGGCCACTACCTGCTACAGTCCCCAGTGAAACTGATAAAACAGATGTTAACTCAGAAGACATGTTTGTTCATAGAACAGAACAAACAGATGTGGTTGTTAATGAGATGGGACCATCTGGAAACGATGATCAACATGCTCATACTTCATTCCTTTCATTCAGCAGTGATGTGCAAAACTGTCAAGCAGGAAAAAACATGGAGATCTGCTTAAATCATCAGACGCTTTGTGGTGATGATGTACATAGTTGCCTGGACAAAAAAGAGCTTTCTAAGAGTGACGCCTTTCCAGACAGTTCCTTAAATTTATTGTGTGAGGATGAACAGAATGGACAGAATATGACTGATATTCAAAGTAACAGTATCCCTGTGGACCCCAGTTCTAAAAAAGCTGATGGGTGTCTTTTGAGTTCTGGTGATATTGATGAAATAGAAAAAAATGGGGAGGCTTTAGTCTCTAAAGACTTACCTGAAATCTCTGCTGATAGTTGGAGTATGGGAAGTGGATTTAAAAACTTTCTAGGAGACAGCCTGGAACCTGTTAAGATTTTGATTCCTGAAGTTGGAGGAACAATTAATAAGCAAAATGGACATCCTAGTGAACAAAGCAGTGATCCACGAATCTCAAATCAAAGCATAGAGAAAAGAAATCTGATAAGTGATAAGTTTGGACATGTGACAGCTTATGACTTAATTAGTAGTAGAATAATAAAGAAACCAAAGTCTGCTATTGGATTTTTCACTCAAGAATGTCGTCCAAAATTGATAACTGATAACCCAAAGACCAGCATGGAGGATATTCTGCTGCAAATTGAAGAGCAGTGGGATAATTTGAATGAAGAGGAAAAAAAGAAGTAAGTTTCCAGGCTTTGACTTGCTTTTGTAGCTGGTAGTTACTGGTAAGTCACATGTAGTGAATTAACAAAAAAATAAAATAACTTCCTAGTTATTTTATGAAAAAATAGAACAAAAAAATGGGATTTGACTTTCTAAGATCAGTGTCAGTATTGTGAGTTGTCACATTTTGCTCTGTGAGGATGTGCACTGCTGATACGAGTTACTCATTTTGCCACCCTGTCATGGAGCAGTTAGGTAGGGATGGTTTTGCTGAATTGTTATTTACAGGTAACAGGCAAGTAAATGTACTGTTTGAATCCTGCAAAATTCTGTTAAATAAGGACTGCCTGTATGTTGCCACTCCCGATGCACTGTCAGTGAAAACCAGCAGGGTGATGGATGAGCTGTGTAGTTCGTCCAGAGTTTTTCCAATGTGCAGTTCTTTTTTATTGTTACGAAGTGAGGATTCTTTTTCAGGATCTTTAGTACTTGAACATTTGATAAATTCCTTTCCTATAAATTCAGGAAGTGTCCCAACCCATGGTACCTCAGAATTATATTTGTAAAACCCATTTGGATGACACAAGGAATTTCTTTTTTCTCTAAACAGCTATTCCAGTGCCATTCACACTATACTACAATTTGAATTTTAATCTCTTTCAGTCAGAACCAAATCTCTTCTTAGATTACAGTCTAAAAGAAATTGTCACTGTTTTTTTTTAAATCCGTCTGCAAGTAAGGGAAGTATTTTAGCCTAATTTGGGGTGGAGGTTTAATCAGTTAAAATATTAGGTATATTTTGTACTTCATGTAGAACTTCTAGTAAAAGATGAAGTAGAATAACAGATTTTGAGACATTCTAAGGCAGGTAAAAGAAAAACGAAACACCAAACCTTTGATATCTTATTTGTAATTTTATAAAATGTAAAACACTGTAGGGCATCACACAAATGATGAAAATAGTTCTTTAGTAGTTTTACATGTGATGATTTGAATGCATATTGTGATTTGTAGCAGAAAGTTTGGGAAATGAAATTTGGGTTCTGAAAAACAAAACTCATTGGAAGTGTTACGAAAATGTGTTTTCTTAATGTGATGGAAGCTAGGAGAGGCAATTAAGAAAGGCCACTGAAGAGGAAATTATACTGGCAGTGTAATTTTAACACTAATGAAAGAGAAGATTAGCAGTGTGATAAGAGAAACTACACCTATTGAATTATTGTTAATATATGTGTTTTCCTTGACGTTTTACTTTGTTTGAAAACATCTGCCTTGTTCTGAATACCAGCTGTATCAGAGTTAAGTAAAACCTTTTTTATCTAGGCTCCGATTTACCTCATGCTAAGCAAGCAACATGCTATGATCACAAAACCATACATGTGAGAAAGTGTTTTGTCCATCTCTGCATTAGCAGAAATATTAATGTAATAGTAGAAATCTACTCCAATTATATTCACGCTTTTAATGAAATGAAACAAAAGGTTCTGCCAGCTGTTTCAGAAAATTTTAATTTGCTCTGCTTTAGCTTTTCAGATTTCATGGTTGCTTTCCTGGTACAACTGTTATGTTAAAGAGTGTGCCTTCAGATTAACTTTGTATTAGTTCAGGAAGAAGACCTTTCTGGTAGTTAAGTTTTCCTTATATGTAGGGTTGAATGCAGCATATTATATATACTATATTCATTTTTCCATATACATAGGATTGAATCAAATGGATGCTGAAATGAACTACTAGTTTTATCCATACAGCTTCGATGTACCTCTTTTCTGCTTTAAATCTTGTAAAATTGCCTCAGAAAATAACAAACATGAAGAGATGCACAGACATCTTTCCCTCCAGGGCAGCAATGCACAAGAACTGTGGTTCATCTGGCAAAGAACATAGTCTTGCCTATCAGATACTCTGGATAAATTGGGCCACCTAGAGGTAACAACAAATGTATATGCAACAAGGCAGCCAAAGTGCCACAGTTCTACTGAACACACTATACCCCCAGCTTCATGGCAAGCCTTGCTGGAAATACGCGACTTTTCCTAGTACTCCATCCTTCTCTGATAAAGTCACATGTTTATTACAATGGGTGTGCTTGGCTTCAGCATCTTTTTTTCTCTTTCTGGTTCCATCAGTAGGTCTAAATGAGTTTAAATCCCTTTTTGGAGCAGTACAACCAACAGATGTCTTGTAGTGACATAGGATGGCCTTTTCAAAACAAGCCAGCATTTATTACTCAACCGGAATGTAAAATGTTACGGTCTTTAGGTTATAATAGAAGAGGAAAGCTTCCATGCATGTCTCTCTTGGCAGCATCACATATCCCCCTGCTTTGCAAAGCCATGATTTAATTTATTTTACTCACTCTGCTCTTACTTAATACAGCTTGCATATGTTTCTGGCCTTGACATTTCTTGCATATTAGGCTCAGGTAGGAGTGGGAGAAATCCCTCTAAGTGCCATGGCAGTGGCAGCAGTAGTTATCCTGAAGACATAGGAAAGGTTCAGAACTACGTGCTCATTATCATGGGACTAACAAATTACCTTGTCAGCACTCTAAGGTTATTCTTCATGAGTATATTTGTACCTTGGGAGAAACGTCATTTCAGGTAGTATGATGGCCTTTGTTGTCTGTTGACAGGTAAGAGCATGCATGTAGTCACTAGTGGCTGTCATGTGTGATAGTTTTTTATTGCCTGAAAACTTTCCATGCATCATATAGTGTGTGTGTGTGCATTATTTGCAACTATTTCACACTGGGGTAAATATACTTGCATAGGAATTCCAGAAAAATTATTTATTTACTGCATTTTAATCTTTTAGTTAACATGTTCTCTTTCCTTTGGATGGAGATCATTTTGTGGTACCATCTAGTCATTGGGTATCCATTGTATCTCTAGCCATCTCCATTTATATACTGCCAGATATTAATAACAAATAATGGTATTAGTAATTGCTATCAGGCCTTCCACACTGTTGCCTGTCTCCAGCATCTGTTCAGTCATAATAGTAGGTCCATATTGTCCACTCCTAGAAAACAGTGCTAGTCCCGTGAGACCTCTGCATTTGAGAAATGAACTGAAAAGCAATTAAAAGCTTGTGTTTTATTATTCTTTTATTTGCCTCTTCACAAAGCAAGGAAGCACAGAAGCTGAATATTGTACTCATGGTGACAGCTTGAATTGTTTGGGTTCATTATGTGAAGAGGCTGATGCTGAGATGTGTTACATTCCGCGTGGGAAACCTCTTTATTCTGGGCACATACGAATCTACACAAGGGGCTCTTTCCAGTAAGAGTTTACTCCAAATAGTGAAATTCAGATTATTTGACTTACAAGGTCTTTATATTAAAAGGTTTATGTTATATGCTAAATATTTCATTTGGGTTTAAGATGCAAGGGGAAAATAATAAATTGTGGATCCATTTTTCTAGTTAAACCAAAGCTACATTAGAAACTAGACTTCATTCTGGTTTTCCACTCTCTCCTTACACCCAGTTTTGAAATTTCCTTGTCTTTAGGTTTCAAAGCTTCAGGGAAGTATCCTGAATTTAGTGTCTTGATTCACCAGGCAGAGAAGAAACTGGTCTTGTAGCACTTGTTGGTTATGCTTGCCCCTGTGAAAGGACTTTTTGAAAAGGCAAAGGTTCCCTTGCAGTTTGTATACCTGCTGTTTTCTTTGATGTTGAGCAAATCACTGATCATGATGTATATGAATTTGCAAAACTCGCAGTAAAAGCTTGTAAGGCTAGAATTTTTCTGGTGGTAATCTTAAGATATCAGGCAAGTTGGACTTTCTTTGGAGGTGCTTTTGTTTGTGTTATCGGTGTATCACTCAAAGCTCAGTTTTCATATAGTTTTCTCCTGCATTACAGTTGATTCTATACAGAATGAAGTATTTCTTGATCTGGTCAAAGCTACAAATGTATTTGGGTAGAAAAAAAAACAACCTGTTCAAGTGATTTCATCCATTCATTTTAAAGGGAGCAGATGTTTTTATCGTAATGTTCACTCCATATTTTCTAGGGCATGATTTATTGCAAGAAACTATTTAAGCTGACTTTTTTAGTTAACTAAATATTGGTACCATATGTGAATGCTAGCACATCATAATTAATTGCAAATGGTGACCCTTTTGTTGACCTTAATTTTCCAGCATGCATACACATAATTGAATCAAACTGTTCCAGCAAGTAGCAATAAATAAATATGACCAGCTAAAATACTTATTTCTAATACTTACATCTGATAGTACTGCATTTTTTTCTTATTATTATTGAAGTTTGGACTTGTTTGAGTTACCTACTAGAATTCAGAATATCAAATAAAAGCAAAAAGAGGGAGTTCAGGAAATCATCTTTTTGGCCTTCAAAAAAGAAAGATTCATATGCAGTAGGCAAGCATAAACTTGGCATCTATAAAAGTTTAGCTGTCTTTCTGACATTTGTAAGCTCATTAAGAATCCATTCAGGTTGCAGAAATTTGGTATGTAGTAATGTTTTAACCGTTTAGATAGAATTTAGGAGTAGTTCATTCTTGAGTACTTTTTGAAAAATCTAAGTCTACTACTTACAGAATTCTGTGACAGTTGTATCTATTCTGTATTCTGAACTTTTTATTTCTCTGCGTAATCTTAGGCCATTTGAAATCAAATGTGTTTCTTTGTATTAAGTAAAGCCTTAAGCTTATGAAGTTAGGCTCCAGACTCCTACCTAACCACACGGACTCCCCTTGAAGTCTGTAGAGCTCTAGAAACTTATATGACTTTGTGACAAAACTACTTCCAAAACTGTTTGTATGGGTGTGAATTAAGGTTAAACAGAGTCTTTGGGACTGAGGTCAAAACCAACTTGCTGTAGCTCTTTATATGAGGCAGTCTACTCCTTCCCCTTCTGTAATTCAGGTTTTGCTGGCTGTCACGATGAAGGAAAATTTCCAACTCATCATCTTCAGAAGGTAATGTAATATGGCCAAAGTCCCCGCTGGCCTTCTCTCTTCCATCATAGTGGAAAGCATTTTGATGTGCCTACTTGAATGAACCATGGACATTATTATTGTCTGTTGAAATAGTTATCTTGCCTTTTGTTTTAGTTTGTTAGGAGTTAGGGTTTGGGATTTTTAATCTGATTATGCTGCTCGTTTGTTTTCTCTTTTAAGTTATGAAGTAAAAGCTGATAAAGACCTGGAACGATACAACAGAGAGGTCAAGAAAGCTATGGGACAGAAAGTACATCAGGCAACAAAGGAGGCAGGAAAACAGAAACCCAAGCTGAAGACTTCCCTCTCTCACCAGCAGAAGCTTGACAAGATATTTCATGATCAAATTGAAAAAAAGAGGCAAACTGAACAGTCTATGAAAATTGTGACAGTGCCGTTTTCTTTGAGTTCCTGTAGACATCAGCATCAGAGACATGAGAAAAATTATTCAGATCAACATGAGCTTTTCCTGATCCGTCACCGAAGTTTTCCTGATGTCTGGATATTTTCTGCTGAAAAAAAGCTAAGGTTACTCAATCCATACAGATTGGAAGAAGCCCTGCTATGTAAAAGATTACTTATGAATCATAAGCTTCCAGTAGAGAAACTGGAAAAGCCAATTATGTTAACAGACAGGTATAGTACAACTGAGCAAAAATTTGTATGTTATTTCGAGTATTGTTTGGTAATTATTTACAGTAAATTCTGGTAAGGTCCTTTTTGCTTATTCTGTGATTATTTGTACATTCCTTTATCTGTAAGAACAGACTTTTATGCTTTGTATAGTTTTACCTTACAGTAGTGAGCAGGCCTGGTCATACTCCAGTTGCAATAAGTTTTGACCAGTCTATCAGTAATGCAGTGAAGACAAATTTCTTCCCCCAGAGAAAAATTAAATGTTCCACATTTTAACAACTTCAGTTAGTTGTCTAGTTGTCACTAACTTTCCCTCATGAATTAGGAAATAACTGATGTAATTATTATTATATGCCCTAAACTTGGTCACTCTTTAAGATACGTGAATACTTGTGATTTTATTCATTTAAACAAATTGCTTTCTCAGAATGCTTTTAAAAGTCTTGATCACTTCTCACCACTTGCTGCTTTTTTTCTGTGTTTTTCTCACAGTTTTAATTTTCATATTTTAGTTTGTAACACTTTGGGAATTTTTTTTTTCCTAGTCTCATTGGTGGATCTCAGTATATGGCTGCTCTTTATAAAATGCAGAAGGATTATCCCAATTTCAATGGACCAGGTTATTTGACAGATCCAAGGCTTGTAGCAAATGGATTTCAGATAAAAGTGATAGAAGGTATGATGCTATTAAAAATCTTTCAGTTATATTGGGGCTTGTTTCTTCTGATTTAAGGATTCAAATGATTGTTAAATGTATATCATGTTATTCTACATCACCTTATCATTTGAAGCACTAACATCCTGCTTTTATTAGCATTGAGATTTTATTACTTGCCAAAGAATGTAATCTTCTTCATAGAACATCGAGTAATGGAAACTGGTAACTGAACAAAAAATTTCAATAGTATTTCAAAGAATGCTCCATGTATCTTAAAGAAATACATGTTTTCTTGACTTTTGTGTTTTCTTCTTTTCTCAAAATGCTGGGTGCTGATATCCTTAATTGCCGTCTCACAGAATTTAGATTAAACTGATGAGAATTCTTTAGTCTTGGCAGCTGCTTCCAAGGTGATACTCACAGAAGCTTCTGCAAGTATGTGCTTTATGTGACAACTACTCTGCTTTGAGCAGTTGAGAAGGTCTGGTAAGGAGCTGGATCTGCTTATTGACTTACTTTCATATCAGACATGAAATCCAGAGCCCAAAAGAGCTGGTAAAGACAAGATCACCACACCTTTTGTTAGGGTTCAACTTGAACTTTATTTTGAGACAGCCTTTTTCTCAGTGCCTCTACGTTCATCACAAAATAAATATTTCATATACCTGTAGCAAGAGACAGCAAATGTGTATACATTTTCCTGAAGAATGGTTCGTAGGGATGCTTTTGGAAACCCAGGGGCAACCTACCCAGTGTCAGTTCTGTAGATAAGGATTTCTCTAGCAGAATTTCAAGAAGAGCAAAAGTCTTTGGGGGTAGTACCTAGCTGACAGCTCAGAGGAAAGATTCACTATAAGAGCTGTTAGAAATGCTATAGCTTCATGTGTTACAGATCCCCACATATGTACAGTGATGACAGATGTACTGTAACATATGGGATCTTTTAAGGGTAGGTACAAAAATGGGATGTAGAGCAACTTCTTCACTTGGTGGCGGCTCTTGGGAAGAACAGCCTAAGCTGTTTTCTTTACTAATCATGCACAGCAAAAAAAAAAGACAACTTTTTTCTGACTGGCTAAATCCCTACACAAATAACAGACTTGTAGGAGAGGTGTTCATGGTAAGCTTGGATTGAATGATTAGGGGAATAAAACATGTATTATAAGAGGCAGCTCTTGAGAGTTATATTCAGCTTAGCAAATCAAAAGCTGCATCTCTAAGACAAACATGGGAGAAAGGAATTGTTGCTTAGCCTTTTTGCTCACATACTGGGTTTTTCCCACCTCCTGATGTTGTAAGTTTGCTCAAAATCTAATTAGTGTAAACTGGATGTGAATAAATTGAATGTGAAAATTTGAAGAGAGTTTCTAGGCAACAATGGAGGAGACTTGTTGATTGATCTTGTGGTACTGGAAATGTGTTGTGGTTTAACCCCAGCCAGCAACTAGGTTCCACACAGCAGCTCACTCTTTTCCCTTTGGGTGGGATGGAGCAGAGGATATGAAAAGTGAGAAAACTCATGGGTTGAGATAAAGACAGTTTAATATGTAAAACAAGAGCCATGCTCACAAGCAAAGCAGAACAAGGAATTCATTCCCCACTTCCCATGGTCAGGAAGGTGTTCAGCCATCCCCAGGCAAACAGAGCTCCATCATGCGTAATGGTTACTTTGGAAGGCAAATGCCATCAGTCTGAACATCACCCCCTTCCTTCTTCCCACAGCCCTATAGGCTGAGCATGACCTCATATGCTCTGGAACATCCCTTTGGTCAGTTGGGGTCAGGTGTGCTGCCTGTGTCCCCTCCCAGCACCTTGTGCCCCCCCATCCCTGCTTGCTGCTTGGGGTGGGGTGAGGAGCAGAAAATGCCTTGACTCTGTGCAAGCTCTGCTCAACAATAACTAAAACATCTCTGTGTTATCATCACTATTTCCAACACAAATCCAAAACACAACCCCATTCTAGCTACTACAAAGAAAATTATTTCAGCCAAAACCAGCAGAAGATGGGGAAATGAGTTTTAAGACAGCTTGATTAGTTCGATAGCTGAATTATACAATGTAACAGCAAGAGACTCAATAAATAGCTGGGAATTATAATCATCTTCCAAACCTGTGTTCCTAAGTACATAAAGTTAGGGAAATGAAATCTTATGAGGAAAGTGTTCTCATCTGGTTTACAATTAGTGGAAATTAAAGTGCTTTATATGCACTATACAGGTCAACAAACCATGATCGTGGACTTGATCCATACAGATAACCCAGACGAAGAATGGGAATCTAATTCAGTTCTTTGTCCTAGTCTCATATTTTACCTACTTGAATGAAACGTTAATAACATCTGAGGCTTGTCAGTCATGTTTATAAGCTTCTGCTGATGACATTAGAGGAGTTACAGCCTCTCTTATTAAGAGAGCATACCATCGCAGATGAAGCTAGAAATACCAGCAAACAAATGGAATTTCTCACAGCCTTTTTTCCAGCTGACCCAAGGATTTTTACTCAATACTTCATCAGTCCCTCTTTCTTTTTCTCCCTTAAACTCATCCCTGAAATATACTATCTTCTACAGATATCCTACGGTGTGCCACAAATACTTATTAAAACTGAGTTTTAGAAGCACAGGTATTAATTACAAACACTTGTTATGTGTTCTTCTCTGGGAATTTTACTGTGCAGTCAAGTACTTTGTAGATTCTTGTTATATAATATCTATGTAAAGTGGCCAGGAGTGATTTGTCCCACTTAGACCAAAGTATTCAATAGGATTACTCAACTTTGAGAGAACAGGTTTGTCTCATAAAACATTTTTCACTATCCTTATAGAAACATTTTGTTGTTGTTTGCTGTCTGAATTCAGCAGCTTACTTGAAACTCAGCAGCTTACTTGAATTCAGCAGCTTACTTGAAACTCAGGCAAAGCCAAAAAGGGAGGCATTCCAATGTTGAACTAGAGGTTGCCTCAGAAAAGTTTTGTTTCTTCAGGAATATTGTTAACTTTTGGGAACAGTGGTTGCCACTTTGCATGGCTTGCTGCAGGGAGGTTTCAAGAATACAGACATGCACTTAACCCATGGTAGCTGGAGAGTTTCACCTTGGCAGCATCCATAGGAGCATACCTGAACTCTATTCTCTGTGCATGTACCTTTATAAGTAATCCTTCCCGTTTTTGGGTGTGAATTGGATCAGTCCTAGTATTTGCTGTTTCTCAATTGAACTATCAATTCTTTCTTGCTGTTAGGTTCCACTGTAGAATATTTAAAGGTCTGTACTTTCCTTTGGGACTTCAGCCTTGACGTGATCATATTAGATGTCTCTTTCTGACTGCTGGTTGATTAATAGCCACTAGTGCATTGCTTCCTCTTTCATCCTGGGTTAAGAGTTCTGCTTTCTGTAGTAGTAGAACATTTCTCTTTTATGTCACAAGCAAAGGTTCCATTTCTTTAGCTTTGAATTTGAATGTGAAAGTGTTATTTTAGTAATTTCTTCTTGCAAAGCTCTTGATTCATCCATGTGGCCTTGGGTGATATGGTTTAGTGTGAGGTGTCCCTGCCCATGGTAGGAGAGTTGGAACTGTATGATCTTAAGGTCCTTTCCAACCCTAACTATTCTATGATTCTGTGGTTCTATGGATAAGTCTATTATGACATTAGTGGCTCTAAGATACCTTCCAAAACAAGAACAAAAGAAATTTAGCTGCTCCAGTTTGATATTTAGCAGCTTTGGCTGCAGAATAAAGGGCTTTCCTTGACCCACAGTGATCTCTGAAGAGGACTGTCAGTCTACTGGGTTGCCTTGGTTATTTGTTTGTCTCAAAACATATTCTGCCAAAAAGAAGGACCCTGAGTTTTGCTGCCCATTAACATGTATTAAGTCTCAAATACTAACTTGGAATGCAAGACCTCTTGCTTTGGTATTGAGCACCTCACTAGGGCTGTTTCCTAGATAAACGTAATGAGTATAGGACTCTAGATTCATTCCTTACTTCCTCTTGGTTTGGGGAATGTTTTACAGAACTGACTTTAATTAATAACAAGAAAATCTGAACAGCTGCCTTAATTTGGAAGGTGTCTTTGGTAATTCCTTTGTTGCATTGGGCTTGCACCTCAACTGATCTTTTTGTTAAAGACGTTTCTTCTTAAGTTAAATCCCTACCTTTTGGCAACTTATGGCACAGAAGATCCTGATTCTTATTCATTCTCAATTTAAAAAAAAAAAAAAAAAAACAACAAAACAAACCATCACATAAATTGTTTTTCCTTATTTGGATGACTTGTCTGTAAGGGACAACTTCTGTCATAGGATTAAAAAAACTAATTAATTAGTCTTGCACAAAATTTGGTGCAACTTGGGGTTAATACTTGGAAATTGAATCTTACTCCCTCACAGTGCTTGGCATTTGTAGAAGTACAACTATACTCTTTAATGGCAAAGACCTTTTAGCTAGTGGAGTGGTTCTGACCTTTAGTCACTCTAATAACCTATCAGGTGCATTTCTCACAGGCACAGCACGAAACATGCCTCATTCTGAGCAGCATGGTACTATGCGACACCAGATACACTACTCCTAGTAGGCTTCTGAAAGGTCTAATTAGATCTTTTCTTCCTAACAGGGACTCAATTCCAAATGGAGTTTTGTTCTTGTTCTGTCATTTAGTGGAAAAACTTTGAACTTCTGGCAGTGTTTTCCTTTTTCACAAACAACTTTGGATAGTTACTTTTACTTCTTATTGTTTCACTTGAGGATAAGTCCATCCTTTAAATGCTCTCTCGTTGTAAGACAGGAGTGTCTTACACCTTTGCTCCATACTGTTCAAAGACTCTGTATGACTGCAGCCAAAGCTGTTCCAGTTCATCCTGGATCTTGGGTGTGCCCTATCTTCTTGTTTTGGTAGACTATGATCTTCTGTAATGTCTCCTTTTTTCTCCTTGTGTTGATTCCTCAGCAGTCTAAGGAGTTTTCAGCTAGATATTTCTCTGGATAGCTGACAGTGAAAAACATGTTGTGAAACAGCTCAGAAAATGCTTCTTACTGTAAGTATGTCTGGCAAAATCAATGGTTTCTTTGTGGAACATGCCAGTTGTGGTTTGCAAAGCTGTGACGCTGAGCTCCAATCTGTCTTTGCTGCCCTCCCACCCCCTCATGTTCTGACATTACTGAGGCTTCAAGTGATGCTACCTTTGGGAAAGCAGTCTGTTTGCTTTTACTTAACTCAGTGTTCTTCGATCTGCCAGGCATTTGTTTGCTGGGTATAGCTTGCAATGACCCCTACGTACAAGGAGCATTTCAAGAAGTAAAATGGATTACTTTCTGTCCAGTTCTTCTTAAGATGTGTTTGTTATATAAACTTTCACTGCACATCTGTTTGCCTTTGTGAAAGTCCTAGAGAGAGATGTGAATTCTTGGCTGGAAAAGAACTGAGAGCAAGGAACACATCTTACCTGGTTTTGTAACAATGGTGGGCCTTGGGCCATACTCCAAGGCAGGCTTTTAGGGTAGAATTGTCTACCTGATAGAATGCATGTATCCAACATACGTATATGCAAAGAATGTGCTTAGGCCTTAAAGAGCTGTAATAGATAAATAACCCATCTTCCTTGGTAGTGTAATCTGCTTTGGCTCTTGTAATCGACAGTGGAAAGTCATGCTGCTACTTAATTTCAGTTTGATTTCAACTGTAGACTGGAAGGTAGTCTTATAATGTCACCTAATCTAGGTGGCAGCTGGAAGAGAACAGTTTTTCCTGGCCATCAAGAAGGAATTATCGAAAGATGATTGCAAATGCTTTGTTTGGAAAGAGAAAGGGGAAATTTGTAGCAATGAGAAATCCACATTTTTAGTCAATTGAAAGATAGTTTATTTGTTCACAGAGATATTTTCCTTGGAAGTTGCAAAGCATTTCACAGACACTACCATGGAAACTGCTTGAAGACTGCTGTTTGAATACTCAAAAATCTTAAAGTATACTTTATCAAAAATTTACAAGTACACTGAGGCTTGGACATCTGCTTACTTCATCAAATGTTGCCAATATCAGAATTCCTGCAAAGACTTGCAGAGATAAATATATGTTCATCAGCATGCAGTGGGCTAATTTGCGGTCGAAGAAAATCTAAGCAGAAAAGGAGAGTTACACACAAACAGAAATACCGAAGAAGAAAACTTCTTTTAGCGAGGATTTTTATGATTTGTTCTTAGCTTAGACTCTTTAAACATCCCTTTGTCTTTCAAATTAATGGCGAAGTCAAATCTGGCTCTCAAAATTTGCAGACAGGAAAATTGCTATTGGTAAAACTGAAGAGTATCAAGCAGTAAGCATCTTGGTAGCAAGCTCTACCCAGGTATGATTGGTTTACTGAATTGGGGGGGAGGGGGAAGGGGGAAGTTTTGCAAATCCAGAACCTCACTGTCATGAAATTTTCATAGGATGCACTGGAAATACAAGTTCTTAAACTGAAAATCTTAGTACTGAAACTTAACAAAATTTTGTTTTCCACCTTTGCTAGCACAAAGAGAGGTAATTATTGAAAGTCTGTCAAATAGACAGTTCTCATTTTAGAGAGAAGGCAGCATAATCAACTGCCTCGGAATTGTTACGCAAATCTAGTCTTTCATTAAAGCAAAACTGGGATAAGATTAAAACCAGACTTTATCTTTTGCTCCTGTCTCTTTACTGGCAGCCTTTCTCATGGGGAAATATTGGCATTGCTCATCATCTTATCTCACCTTTAATAACTGGCGAACTTTCACATAGTTTAACATTTCCCTTTAAGCTGAATCTGATCACAGGCTTACAGCAGTACATAAAAATTGTCTGGCTTTCCTGGCCACGATTAGGGAAAGACAGCTTGAAAAAAAGAACAAAGACAATGCTGGGTGAAAAGGAAATAAAGTTTCAAATCTAAAGCAGTGTTAAATACATAACTGGAAGGAGGTTATGTGATTTGGGGGTGGGGGTGTTCCCTATATCAAATTCCTACTCTGCTCAAAGTATTTCTTGCCATGAAGCGTAAAAAGGCCCAGGAGTGTTATTTACTTGGTGACACCCCCATATTTAGAAAAATTTGCAACCTGCACTTTGTAACGTTTATTTAATGACTGTCAAATAAGCAGTGCCTGGTCATGGATAACAACCTCCTTCTACTGGCTAATGAAGGTACATTGTGGTGACTTACATTGCATATGTTATTTCTCTCAATTCTGAAATCTGTCACATTTTTTGGATTAGAAACCTGAATGATCCTTTATCACAGTTTCTTAGTTTAATTCACTTTGTAGCCATCTATTTGTCTCCAGCTCTTTTGACTATGCCAAAACTATTCATGACTCGGACTGAATGTAATTTATCCTACCTGGAACCATTAAACAAGAGTAGATTTGTTTGCATTATGAATTGTATTCTTCCATGCTCACCTTATGAAGCTCTTTACTTCTTAGACTTCTAGTGGAAGAAAAAGGAAGTTGCCTGTGTGGGTTGGGTTGAGGTTTCTGTGCAGCCAGCATGAATGAGAGCAGCAGCTCTGAAGGACTGTACAAGAATATGTGAGCCTGACCCCTACAGAAATTGCTTCTGACTGGGAGTGGAAGGAAAACTAACTGTAGAGTAGCAACTACATTCAAATTCTTTGCAAGTAGTGTGAATAAGAACTGAGATCTTTTATACCTCAAAGATTTAACAGATACTTTGTTGAGAAGGTTGTTTAAATGTTTTATTCATCATTCATATTCAGAGTGATACCTGCTGCAGCAGGTATCATATGAGTGATAATATGAACCCTGTCACAGAGCTGCTAGTTATATGGCTTGTATTCTTCCTTTGCTATGGTAGGAGAAAAAAATGCTTTTTGTTTCAGTGCAAACTGAATTTGTTATTGTAACATTTGAACTCTACAGATGTTAAAACCAATTACATAGGAAATAGTGCCAACACTTTTATTTTTTTCTTTCAAATGAAATTGTATTTTATTACTAGCTTCTAAGTCCATTTCATAAGTTTCTTAATTGTATTTGATTTGTGAGAATAATTTACTAAGTGATCTTACATCGTTTAGTTTTCTCTGAATTACTCCAGAATAGAAATGAAAGCAGCGTATAAATTACTGTTTTGGTTTTGTATTTTCAGGTGTTTCAGCTGTAGAAAGTCACCTGGAGATAGAAGGGATGGCAAATTGTCTGCCATATTATGGTATTTCTGATTTAAAAGAAATTCTGAATGCAGTAGTTAATGGAAATGCAAAGGAAGTGTATGAATGTAGACCCCTCAAAGTGATGAATTACTTGGAGGTAAGACAGAAGTTTGCTTCTAAATACTGACCAGCTAATAATAAATCATTAAGCAGCCTGAAAATCTTTCTGCAGCTTTCTGTTTTAATTAGTGTAGTTCTGTTCTAAACAAAAGTTACTTCTGAAAAGGAGAATATCCTATCCTCTCTGAGGTGTAGGGGTTCTGCACTGCTTACCAGAATGCTTCCATAAGACACATCTAGAAGCAGTTGTCCAGTGTGATACAATAGGTGCTGAAAGCTCAAGTTCACAAAGTGTTTCTGCCTAGGCAGTTTTCAGACTAGAAGGACATTCCTCATGTTAGAATACAGAACTACCATAAAATTGCTTTGCAAAGTCTAGAAGGTAGTTGAATCCAGAACAGCCATAAAGATTTAATGCCTTTGTAAGTAAATCTGTGAAGAAGTTATAGGTAATTTAAAGTAATAGTTTGAAAAGTAGGTGCAAATTGAAGCTTAATTTTCATGTAAAACTCAATGAGATGCACATAATGAAAATCACAGAACACAGTTTTCACTTAAAGAAGAAAAATTCCCGATTCCTTCAAGGAAATGGAAACTTTTTTTTTCTTTGCTTGAAAAGCAAGCTATCGCTTGTTTAAAACATTGAACTAAAAATGAAGTCTCACGTAACACGAAGCCCATATGCCTCTGCAAATGCTTGTGTTAACACCAATAACTTCTGCAGTTAAAGGAAGCAACCAGCTGACAGCCAACAGTTTTTAAGTCCGCTCTGTTTGATGCAGTAGTGACTAAGTTCTGCAGTGCACTGGCAGAGACGACGCAATGTGTTTGCTCTGCACAAGCAGCCAGCATTATTAGTTACCAAAAATATGGTGCTTGAGTAAAAGAATCTTTAATCTGTTTTCTTGCAGAAGTTACTATGCAACAGTTGGAATAGGAATGACTTTTGTTAATATTTGATATGCAAATAGATAAAATCACCCATCCAGAGACAATAGTGAACATGAAGTTTCAGAAAACTAATATATGTGGTACTGGTTAACACTGGAGTAACTAACAGTAGTAGTTTTTTATCGCTTCTTGTCTAGGTGTTTCACTAATGCTATCTTTAATCCCAGTTTTTAAGATCTCAGTTCAAAAATGTTACCAAAATATATCTTAAGTATCTTCTTACACATTTGCTGACATGCTTTCCTTCAAAATGGGGACTAGGCATTTACACAAAATATGTGTTTTATCTTTTAAATATGTATTACACAAATCTTTCCCTGTCTTTTTGGGTCAGTAAGTTTACAGCTGCCTTTGGAGCAAGTGATTCTGTTGTGTACTACTGAACCATTCTTGTGCATTCATGAAAGAAGCTTAAGGAAGTGATAAGTGTTGAGACAGGAATGGTTTGTAACTCAGTGATCAACTTACAAACTTGGTTATAAACTTGGAAAATCGCAGACAAACAAGATTCAGATTAAAATGTTATGAACACTGCTTCAGGTTTGTACCACATGAGGTGAGATTGTATGTCACATCCATTTCTGTCTAGGCGACATTACTAAAGTACAGAAGAGAAGGCAATAGCAGGAAGGCCTATCTTGGAGAAGGAAACAAAAAAAACTGAGAACTTCTTTTTGAAGTTGCTAGATTCTTTGAAGATGGATACTTCACTAATTGTGTTTAGCAGCCACTTCTGCTTTCTGGTATTGAGAGATAGCTGGATACAATAGGCAGTAGTCTGTTAATACAACATTAATCTACAATTTCACTATAGTGTTTTTAAAACTTTATTTAGCTGGCTGACTTCATGTTAGTTCTAAAATGTGTCTTGTGAACTGGTAAACACTTCAGCTGATACTGGTGCCAACAGGAAGTAAGATATTCAGAAACACAAAGCATCTTGCTAAAGTGGACCCTAAAAGAAAGAGTGCAGGCATGACCAGGAGACTGACTGTGTGTGACTCCGTTGTGGAACTGCCATGAAATGACCGATAGGAGATGTTGGGAGTTACATTTGGGTTGCTGGGATTCAAAATATTTATCAGCAGAAAAGAGTGACCTTTAACAGTGAGTGCTTAATTCCTGCTTTCTGGTAGCTCCAGGTCAATGTGTTAAAAAGTAGTACTTTAAAACCATTGGGGTTTTGTTTTTGTTTTTCATTTCCACAGGGAGAAGCAGTACGCTTAGCTCGGCAGCTGCCCTTACATTTGTCAAAAGAAGATGTACAAAACACAATTTACAGGATGAAGCAACAGCTTGGAAAGGAAAATAAAGGCTGTGTTCATGGTCGTCCTTTCTTTCATCACTTAACAGATATTCCAGAAGTTGACAAGCACAGCTCCACGGAAATTATTTAGTAAATGGAACATTTTGTTTGGGATCATATTTCTCTTGCTTAATCTTCATCATTACTCTGTAATTTCAGTATGTTTTGTACAAGGCTTTTGTATAATAACTTTTCATTATCATATGTTCCTCTTCTGGAAACTTATTTAAATTCAAATGCTACTTGAAAACTGGAAATAAATACTGTAGATAAACAACTGATCACTGTTTTTAAAAGGATTTATTAAAGTGTTCTCAAGTGGTTTGATACTTATCTTTTTGCTGCAGGTTTAGAAAATGCCAGTATGTCACAATTTTTTAGATGTGAAGTGGTTAGAAATTGCTTTTGACAGCGCCTGGCAAAGTTCATTGTACTGAGGACATGAGATGTTAATTTTCAAAGGAATGCCAGATAGCTGTAGGTAATGTGACAGGGCAAGGGGGAATGGCTTTAAACTGAAAGAGAGGGTAGATTTAGTTCAGATATTGAGAAGTTGTTCTTCCCTGTGCAGGTGGTGAGGCACTGGCACAGGTTGCCCAGGGAAGCTGTGCCTGCCTCATCACTGGCAGTGTTCAAGGCCAGGTTGGACAGGGCTTGGAGCAGCGTGGTCTAGTGGAAGGTGTCCCTGGCTGTGAAAGGGGGTTGGAACTGGGTGAACTTTGAGGTCTCTTCCAACAAATCATTCTAGGATTCTATGATTTAAATGTAGCATTGCAATACGCAGTTATTATGGTTAAGGCTTCTGTGGTAGTGTACTTCTATTTGGAAACTGTTAGCTTATGTAAATGAGCATTGAAGTCCTAGTGTCCAATCTCTAGAAACCTTTTCTACACACGAAAGTGTTAGTTCTTGAAAGTACCCTCTTAAAATTGTAGATCAACAAAAACTGGACAATGTCTTGAAAGGTGAAAGAATCGGAGCCACTGGAGCACAGGTCAACGCTGGAAGCAAATACCTGTGTGTTGGTGCAGTGCTATACACAAACTGTCTGGGGGTGAAAAACATAACCTGCCCTCACTCAAGGAGAATATGGCATAACTAGAGCAAGATCTGCTATATGGAGAGCAACTTACTCTGGTAGACCTATTCACTCTGTTTCTACCAGAATGGAATGTTTATTCCTCAAATAGTAACCTACTTCCATAAAACTACCAAATTGTGCCTTCTGTGCATAGCAGATGTAACGTCTCTGGAAGAATATGTTTTAAAAATTTCAAGAAAGATCACATGGAAGATCCTGTCCATCCCTAGCATATCTTGGCACTATGAAAATGTGGTGGTAGGACCTATATTTGTAGTGTTGCTGCAGCTGTTAGGTAAATGGTTGAAGATTGCTGGAAAACCTAAAATGCAAGCTAGTTTATGGACAGGAGTATTTGACCAGACAAGCAGATGTTCAATCTGAAAATGTAAATTACTGATCTATTGCTCTGTATCAATGCTGAGCTGGTGATCTAAGTTAAGAAACCACATCACAGCAATACATGACAACATCTACATTCTAAACAGAAAGGTTTTATGCTGTTAAAGTACATTTATCCTTTTCATAAGAAGCAGGGATGATCAGAGAACACAAACAGGATGTCTTTCCAAACTTAACCAGTGAGCAGGGCACAAGATGAGAATGTCACAGCAAAACTGGACACTTGTTGGCTGTAAATGTCACTTGGTGCCGAAGATGTGAATTTTTAGAATGGAAGTGAGAAGGTGGATGGAGGCACAGGAAGGAGACTTGGCTCTGAGGGGGAAATAGGATCCCAGCCTTGTGGTGGATGCAGAAGGTTATAGTTTGTTTATTTTTATTCTCGTTTGGATACAAACTGTGAGAGTTTCGAGAATAGCCACTGCAGTGAGAAAAAACAAATGCAAGCTGGAGAATGGAGATCTATCTCCAAACTAAGTTTGTTGGAACTTAAATGAATATGTGCACCAATTTCAGTCAGTTGGGAATATAATATGTAGTGTTTAATGAGATTAATAATTGCTAGGGTTTTTTTGAAAAGGTAAAATAGCTGTATCCCAATTATACTGAAGCAAATATTGATGTGTTTGATAAGACCAGAATCAATATCAAGTGCTTAATAGGTATTCAGGCCCTAGGTTGAGGATGAAAAGTGACAGGTAAATTGGTATTCACGGAAGCCATGGAAGCAAATCAATGTCAGGTGTTCCTGTGGGTGCAGATGTACCAGGTTAGGCAATTTGGAGCTGGGCCTTCCCTCCTTCCCTAGTTCCTTCTCTACTTTCTGGTTGAGTTTTCCTTTACCTCAGAGGGCTGCTTTGGATTTCTTCCTTAGGTTACATGTATGTACAGCTTGTTTTCTGTCTCTGTGATATTGTTGGATTGTTGAGTGGCTGGGTACCGGCAAGCAGTTTAGCACAGATTCAGAGGTGTAAGTCTGGGTGTCTCCCCACTGTGTACCCATGGTTGGGGGTGAAGATTGAATTTGCAAGTTGATCTGGTACTGCACTGATGGGAGATGGCTTCAGACAGGGTGGGTGTCCTTACTTTATCCAGTGTGAACAGAGAGAAATGTTACTTCTAGTTTTTAGACGTGCTCTTACTGATGGCTCTGTTGATACATCCATTTTATGTTCCGTATTCAAACAACAAAAATACCCCAGTTCTAGATTTACAAGTTTAAAAGAAGTAAAATGGTGTGCTTGATTTAATGGCTGTCAAAATGGGAGGCATGTCAACTTGTTGCCATTGCATTAGCACCTGGTGCTTCTCAGATGTTCCATTAAGTGATGAACACCATGATGCTCCTGGAGTGCATGCAAAGTCTGCTTGTCCTTGCAGTCAGCCAGTCAGTCCCCAGCTGTATGGGCTGTTTGAAAAGAAGAAAACAACCTGAAATGTGTAATAATGAGTAGATCAGGTGGTTGTTGTGCTTGACCTCGAGTCAAAACCAGGGAGGCAGGACCCGGTGGGTGCATGTTGCAACAGTGAGCAGACAGGCTGCCACATTATTGTACCTTGCACCGTATACCCATGGGAGACTTCTGGTGTTTGCAGTGCCCTCTGCTTGCATTTATTTTTGTACAATTTTGACCACTTAAAAGGATGGGTAGGCAGTTTGGAGTTGACCATGAACCAGTATTGTTCCTTCCTTAACTTCAGGTCAAAGTGTTATTGCTTACGGTGCTTCTCATGGTGTGCATTTTTGCCTTCCCAATGTATGCCTAGTGCAGATAGCAGTGTTCTCCAAGTGATAATCAGGAGCTTTAGAGGTTAAAGCATAATCTCGTAATAAAATGTAGAAATCCTTTTGGTTTATAGCTTTCCATTTTTTGGAGGATCATTTGTAGGGTTGGTTTGGACAGTTCAGTTCTGGTGATATATCTGTGGCTTGGGTGCCCACCTCACCCAGATTTTGAAACTTTGTGGGTTATTTTAATAGAAGACTATTGAGTATCAATTTTATGTTCAAGTACAGGAAAACCTCATTGCAAAAATAATTATTTTTCCCTGCATGTAAGTGTGGACATAAACATAAAATGGAGGTAGCACCTTTTACATGTTTCTTTTCTGAATGTATTTAGGAATCTTAATAATGAAGTTCATGTGTCTTGTCAGTTAAGAAGCGTGTGTATGTGTGAAGTGATTTGGAGGATTTCTGGGGATTTTTTCTTCCTTTAGTATGAATAGTAGAAGTTCAGGGAATAATACCAAAACAGAGGAGTGCTTCACTTACTTCAGGAGCAATTAGCAGTTACTGACAACAGTAAAATCTGGATGATGTAATTTGTGATTTCTTAAAATAGATTCTTCTTTTTCTGTATTTCCCATGTTCTAATATGGAGTGTTTAAAATATCCAGCAATAGAATCAATACTCATAAGGAACACTCTATTTAGTTGAACAAGCATCTATTCCTTGGTCTCTATTTATGCAAGATGGTTGGAGGTTTGGGGTTTATTTTTCCCTTCCTCTCCCCTACATACATATTGGTATTACGTTCATGAAACTAATAATCAGAGAGCAACTTTCCGGTCTTCAGAGCTTACCTTCTGTAAAGCAGGTCTAATTTTGGTTTGATAGGGTGTTTGGTTGGGTATTGTTTTGCAAAATGATCTTATGATTCTGAATTAATTTTGTTGGCTGCAGTAGCAATATTAAAGTATTCTTGAATGTTTTGGTTCTTTTGTACTTTTAACAGTCAGGGTTAGCAGTAGCAAAAAACTTATGGTACATCCATTTAATTTTGCAAATGGAAGGCTACCAGAAATAGCTTTTATTTTTTCCCCTCACTCTCTCGAAGTATGGAGTATCATATTTGAAATTACGGAGAGTATACATATGGAAATATTAAATGTTTTGTTAATGGCTTCGAATTAAGCACACATTGTTGCAGATGATTTGGAGGACTTATTTAAAGTAAATATACAATTTCAAGCTCAATTATCATTCATAGTTTAGCTGAACATAGTGAGATATTAGGTCTGCGTATTTGATACAGTGTTACTTCATAATTACGATGCTTTTTTACAGTAAATTTGATATAGAACATTTGCTAAAGGAAAGCTGCTGAATAGTGTGACCAACCATTTTATGGGACACATCTGGTGCATTAGTTCAGGATGTGCACTGCAGAAGAACAGAGCCTTTTGCATAAAATGAGAAGGAAGCTAACTCCACATGTATACATTTTGCGGACATGCGGAGAAGTTAAACAATTAGGAGTTAATTGTGTAAGCTAATAGGAGGGGTGTTTGTAATGTCATTTCAAAATAGCTAAGGAGGAAATGGAGGGGAATTATTGTTTTAAAATCTCAAATGAATGGTTTACACCTGTTAATGTTACATTTAGAACAGCTGTTTCTTTTATTATCAGTAAACAGATGCAGAAAGTAATGGAATGTTTTAAAGCAATATGTTAATCCTGTCTTCCACTACTGAGCATTCTCACAATATCATGGTAAAATATTGACTGTAACGCTGCTATCATGTGCAGTTATAGAATTCTTCCTTATTTTGTTAATCACTTTTATATCTGAAGTTCTAAATGTTTATCCAAAGTTACTGCAGTCTTCTATCAACCCATCTTAAGACTTTTGGCACATAAGTAATTTAATAAAACAGTGATTTAATTGGGCTGAATTACTTAGCCAAAGCAACCCGCATTTTGATTGTGTTCAAGGGTATTTTCTGTATTTGTGATTTCACCCTGAAATGAAACGAGCTATATTTATAACGTGAGAAAAAACTGCTCGAGG